AGAAAGATATATACAAACTATGTGTTGCTTATGAAAATTCTAATTTGGAAGGTAAAGAAAAACTCCAGCAGAAATATGGCGAGCATCAAGAAGAAAAGGTATTATCCAGGGCAGAGAAAAATAAAGACAAGGAAGCTCTTAATACAAATAAAAACCTTATAGTGGCTGTTTACGATCTCCAGGCGGTTTTACAGGTACCTCGTGGAGATGTTTCTGTATTTTACTATAAGAGTAAATTAAATAACATGAATTTTACAATAAGTAAATTAAAATCAGAAGAAAAAGACGGAAAGGAAAGAAGACAAGAAAGGAAAACAATAAGACTGGTGACAAAGACAAAGACGAGCTTCTTGTAAATCACAGTAATACTGACTGCTACTGTTGGCATGAAGGTGAAGGTAATCTAGGCGCAGATGAAATCGGTAGCTGCTTGCTTAAATTCTTAGAAAAAGAACTGAAAAGTCATACAGAAAGCGAGCATATATAGATAACTGTTGCGGCCAAAATAAAAATAAATATATTGTCGGAATATACATGTATGCGGTAATGAAATAGCCTCAGTTGAATTCGATTATTCATAAATACTTGATAACAGGCCACACTCAAAATAAAGGCGATTCGGTTCATTCGGTCATAGAAAAGCAGATCAAACGCTCTTTAAAATAAGGTCCAATTTATGTTCCTAGCCAGTATATTCAGATAATTAAAGATGCAAAGAAAACTGGAGAACATCTGTTTGAAAAAAAGTTTGATTAGTGATATGGGTATTACTACTTTCAATAAGTTGAAGATCTCGGAGGTAAAGACTATATTGCCAAAGATAGACCAAATATTCTTAGATACAAAACATCTTACAAAGACACCGAATGGTCAGAAGCAAATTTGATATCCCGAAACAAGAAACTGATAATTCTTGAGATAAAACACGCGTATAGGACCAAGTTACAGATCAAGGAGAATAAAAAAAAATGATTTAATTAGTTTGCTACATCACAACCATATCCCAAGTTTTTATGCAGATTTTTTTAATAACTTGTAAATAGATTAAGCAAAGGAACACAAAATAGTTTTGTAAGATTTACTTTCTTCATATCATAGAGAGATTAAGAGAGAGATGAGTGCAATAAAATAGTTTAAACTATTGTTGACTGCTTAAAGTATTATATTAATTAATTAGATACTATGAAAATGTTAAGAGTATACTCGTAAAGAAATTAGTAAATGGTTAAAGGTTTTTAAAGTACAAGAAATTTGTGTTTTTTACGTATTGTTGATTATAAGAGAAAAATGACTGATAAGGACAGTGAGACTGATATTAACAGTTTAAAGAATTATTACTTTCAGAAGAGTATTGAATAAGTTTTGTGGTTTTATAATATTCGTATGCATAGATTTAGACAATACAAGAATTGTTTTAGTTTAGTTTTGATAAAGTTTTATTTTCTTTTGCTTTAAAGATTGTATTACGTGCATTCAGATGATAAAAATACACTTGTATAAACATTATTTTGGTATATTTTCTGTTTTTTGTATCAATATAGTGTCATAACTCAAAATTTCAGGGTTTTTTTTTCATGATTTCAGATAATTGAGTATACCATTTTATAGCTGTTTAAAAACCAAACAAACTTTCTTAAGAACATATTACAGTATCTTTGTTTGTTTTCGCAATAAAAGCAAAAAAGTAAAAAAATATGAAGGTATCAATTTCAAATGCATTTTTCTCCACAATCTGGTTTTATGAGATGTGACACTATTTGAACGGAGGTGCGATATAAAGACAGGCGCTGTCCATATCGGGCAGACTATGTAACACGTTTAAAATATTTCAAGCTAGATTCATTGGAGAAACGACGGTCTCTGAATGATTTAATGTTTTTACATAAGCTCATTCACAACTCAATAGACTCTTCAAAGCTACTTTCTCAAATAAATTTATATGTTCCGAAAACCATTCCTCGATATCCAATTAAAAGCACATTCGCCATTCCTAGATATCGCCAAATGTCGGAAAATTTTCGCCTTTAATTCGCTGTATGAACCTACAATGAAATTGATTCCCATGTCGTCGACATATACAGCCTAAGTAGTGATAGTTTTAAAAAAATAATAAATACTGTTTTAGTTAGTAATTGATATTTAAAATGTTTGTTATCTTATTGTATCCAGATTCTTAGTTGTTAACATGTAAGTTGTAAAATATAAATAAGACCTGTAATGATATATCACACTGTACAAGTTTTCTTTTTTATATATTTTTTTCTACATATGGTTTGTGAATATGCCGTTTGTGAATAAAATTAGGTACATGAGTTAGTACATAAAAAAACCGACTTTTGTACGTATCTCTCACCACCTTGAGCACTTTTATTTAATGCAACGTATGAGCATCACTTATGGAACACAACGAAATTGATCCATTTCTAAAAACTTGCAAGGAAAAGAGAATAGTTTATAAAAACATGAATATGAAAAGAATCAGATGATACAAGACGAACAAGCCTAAAAGGACCTCAAAAGCAGAGATTCACAAAAAAATATAAGATTATGTTGTCGGTCTGGTGAGATTATAAATGTATTTTGAACACTGAACATATGACACAAAAAAAAATTATAACATGCATCAATATTCACCAAACTAAATGACTTAAGAGAGCCGCTCGGAATTGGTAAGACATAAGTAATTTTAATTCCGATTTTAAAATACAAAGAATCACATATTTCTGCTGAGACAGCAAAAATGATTAGATCTTGTTACATATGCCATATTATGGGAACAAGTGATCGTTCTCAACGTTTGGCTTCACAGAATGCCCGGACATTGGCTAACCGAGATCGGGAATCAAGCGCTGAACGATCTCATCGATTAGCACAGCAAAATGCACTTGGAATAGAACTCGTAGACAACATAATTTTATAATGCTGCTTTTGCTTATGATTGTACCGTTGACTATTCCGAGCTAAATGATATTGATAATGGTAGAATGGATAAATTATACAACTTATGCCAAGCAAAAAAATGACCAGCTGAATTTCCTGGACTGTGTTGTAGTGGTGGCAAAGTAAATATACCTATAATTCCGGAACCAAAATCCCTTTAAAGAAACTAATATCAGGCTCACATCCATCATCTAAGCATTTCTTAAATCACTCAAGACAATATAATACATTATTTCAGATGACTTCATTTAGTGCCAAAAAAATTCGTGAGGGAAACTTTTAAAGTCCAAGAGCAAGTTTATCATTTAATCGGTGACTTACTTCCAGCTGTAGGGGCACAACCCGAATTCCTGCAAATACATATGTTTTGTTTCTTCCTTAGACTTTATTAATAAGCAGTATGAAGATCTGCAAATAAAAATAAAGCTATTGGAAACCGAAGCAAAGGAAAATAGGGACCATGTGTTACTGTTAGAGGCAAAAATTAACGAATCAAAATTAACGAATCAAAATTAACGAATTAAATCATTTAACACGTCCGGCTACCATCGAAATCCGGAACATTCCTCAAAAAGTCAATGAGACTACCTCGGACCTCATCTACATTGATAGAAATATTGTAGTAGTTCGATGTCAGGAAATGAGGAAAAAGAAGACTGATTGGCAGTTATAATTAAAAATAACTTAATTTGATCTCATTTTTAGCATTATAAGATGTTTGTTACCAGTACCAGTACCAGATTATTAACATTACTTAAACCAAAAATTATAATTAACTTATGTTGTTTGTTCAAAGTTGATTGTGCACGTCTTGTTGAGTATGTCAATAAAAGTTTAATTACTATACCTGTATATATTAGTTTTATTTTTATTTATTTATATGCAGAAAATACCTTTATTTAGTGAACTTAATTTAGTGAACAATTTAGTAAAAAAATATATATTTTATTATAAATCCTCCATAAAACGTCGGGTCACAATGACCCAAAGTCATCGTTCTTGCAACTTTTTTTGCGTCATTGGGTTAATAAACCAGTAGGTGTTTAATATGTAAATAAGTACTGTTAGAAATATTTGGGTAGCACTTCAACTTAAATATTAACTACTCCACAACTTGTAACCGAATCCCCAGTCTAACACTTGTATCGTATTTATAATATTCAAAAGTAACATTTAGATGAGGGTGGGTTATAATATTAGGCGCTAGTTCCCCTCATAAGAGTTTCCATTAAATAATAAAACACTTAACATTGTGTAAAACATGCTAAGGCTCTAATTATAAATTATAAAACCAATTGTTAAGTATTTGGACATTTAAATTACTGTACAGAAATATTATTAACATTAATTTACACTATTATAACAAATATGTAGATCCACGAGACTGATTGTATCCACGAGACTGATAGGTTTGGGGGGCCCAGTGTTATGGTGTGGGGTAGAATAAGGTAACTGCTGCCAACTACCTCGAGCGTGTGGTCCGACCTCATATCATTCCCTATGCACAACGAGTGGGCAGCAATTTTATTCTAATGCTCGTGCGCATACGGCTCGCCTTACCCAGAAGGCACTATCTGAAGCGAATATTTTTTCCGTTATACCATGGCCAGCAATGAGCCCTGATCTAAACCCAATCGAACATTTATGGGACCAGTTGAAAAGAAGCCTAAAAGAAAATTATAGTGAAGTACATAGTCAACAGGAGCTCATAAACGTTTTAAAAGTGTGCTGGAAGCAGATACCACTGGAAAACATCGCCCATTGAATTGAAAATGTCAAAAACAGACTCAGAGAGTGATTTCGTAACAGAGGAGGGCCTACTCGATACTAAAGATACCCCTGTGTAAACAAGCAACAGAAGATCGGCGTGAAGTAGCCTTTAATGGCTGCGTTTCGTCTGATGAGTGAGAGAACCGGTTGCCCTTTCCCTATTTCCACCCTCTTTTACCATTTCCTTATTCCCACCTCTCCCTTTTCCTACAAAAACTTTCAAAGTCAGTGAACTTTGCTCTAATTTGAAAATAATACTAATTGCTCTTTACCCTAACTGCACGCGAATTTTGCAACCCGCAGATGTAGCAGCACTTTTCCCCTTAAAGTGTGCCTGGAAGCAAAGTGTCCTTCGATGGAGGCGAGATCACCCAGCACAGGCTTTGACGAAAACCGATTTTGTGCCTATTCTGAAAGCAGCGATTGATGTGTCTTTGAAACCCACTACTATTAAAAATGGGTTCAAAGCTTGCGGTCTCTTACCATGGAATCCTGACGCTTTGGATTATACAAAGTGCTTAGGCAATTCCAAGGGAAAAGAAATAAGCCAACCTCACTGTTTAGGTATTGATGCAAATGATAGAAATCGAATGACGAAAGAGGATTTTATTAATATTGTCGGAATGGAAACTATAAATAAAATAAACAATAAAGATATACATATGATAATGGACGCACCTAAACTTCTGCAAAATCTTTGGGAGTTTTTTGGAAATACCTTAATAGTTATTAAGGAAAAACACATAAAAGCATATGTTCTGTTATGTTTTTTCAAGTTTATATTTTTATAAATTCTATTTTTAATGTAAACCATGTTTTATTTTCAAAATAATGCCTCTAAAATAATTTTTTTTCCTTTAAAAATATTTTCAGCTTAAAGAGTGCCAATAATTAGTATCAACCATGTCCATAATTAGAATGAAAGGTGCCAGTAATTGGAATTTCCAAAAATATAATTGAATGCTACTTTTGTATTTACTATTTAAAACCAGTGGCTAAATTTAACATAAAAACATAAAATAGATAATATGGCAAATATCAAACCTGAATTATACTTGAATAATGTACTGTTAATACTATGTACAATTAATTCCTGCCTGATATAGGTCGTAAAGTGCCAATAATTGGGTCGTGTTTGCTTATATAGTTGTACATTTAGAACGTAATATGTATTTAAATTAACAAATTGTATCTTCAAAATGTAACAACTGCTAGCAAACCTAACAATAAATAAATAAATTCTTTTGCACAAAAAGGGATATCACTATGATATGGGAAACTATTGTCCCATAAGTTTAATGTCAAGCCTGAATAAAATATTTGAACGAAAGACAATAGAACAGTCAGGTTTCGAAAAAGACCATCCAGTAGTTAATAATCAAGCAACAAAATAAAAAAAGTATAGGAAATAAAAAAAAACGACCCATAAAATTACTACCTACTAACGAGCAATGTGGAGAAGCATATTTGAGGTAAAGAGAAGTGATGTAATAAGAAAACTAACATTAAGAAAAAGACCAAGGTCCAGGATAAAACCCTAAAAATGTACAGATGAAAATAGAAGTGGTCTGAGCAAATGGTTAGGGGAAGAGGGAGGCACCAGGAAGATGGAAAGACGATCTCAGGAAAGTAGCAAACATGAAGTTGAGTTGAGAGAGTCACAGTCACAGTAGAATAGGTTGCAAAAGGCCTTTGCTAACATAAAAATACAGAAAACCCAAACAAAGTAATAATGATGCAATGTGTTAGAAAACATTGCTTTAATATAAGAAAGTAATTGTATATTTTATGTCCGAATAAAAGGATTTATCATTATCATATATGTATATACCATAATGCCCTGATTTTGCTCCTTTAGAATATACTTCAGGAGTACTTAAATGGTTGCTTAATTTAATTATTTCATTGGAAACATAAAATACTCATTTCACATAACAGCTGAAGTATTCTCATACAAGCCAAGTTATTGCATTCAAAGTTAGATGAGAATGTATACTATTGCTTCAAAAGATTATTTAATATATGAAAAAAATATTTCATCTAATTTTATTTTGTGAACAATTGAAGCTATTTTCAGTCCACAATAAAATTTCTTTAATTGATCTGTTTCTCGCTAATTGGTTCGTTAACTAAAAATTTTATTTCAATTATTTTCTATATCCAATTAAGTTACATTCAGGGACTCCTACGCTATGGAGAACTCTGCTCTCATATTATGTTTGGTGAGGCAGAATTGCAAATAAATTATTATTTAATCCGCATTCATTAAGAGATTAATTCTTTCAAATTTTATATTCTAGATCCTTACGCTACTTGGCCGAAGTTATGGCAACAACGAAGGCTTGTCTTCATTTCAATTAGTATGCCTACTTCTACAGATGCATATATTTTATTATTGACATTGTCTCAAAAATGCAATGGCTTATTTTTCAGCTCGCGCGTCTGTCATTTCCTACGGTAGAAACTGTAAGTATTGCATATTCACTATTTATAGCCCACATAGAGGTAACATATGAAAAATGTATCTCTATTTCCAGAAACCATTCAATATGCCCGGGACTAAAGAGATCGACCCAAAACACAGTTACGCAGATGAGAAATTCGAAAGACTAATGGAATATACTAGTTACATGAACAGCAGAATAAAGGAGCCTCATAATCCTGTGAGTCTATTATTAGGGTTTTAAAATATCTGCTTATAAGAATTTTTCCATTCAATACCTTTTATTTCTTAATGACACGACTTATTGTGTTCTTTACTTCTACTTAAATAGACTGAACGCCGTGAGATATTGGAAACCACGCAGAAGAAACTATTCGATTTCATAGACACCCATATAAAGGATTTAAAGCGTCTGCTGTTTGAAACGGACATGGCTTTGATGTCCATGGTGTTATTGAAACTGAATAAAAAGATGGACACCTCTGAGGCTAAAATTAAGTCCACTCAAGCGAAAATACCATTTGGATTGTATACTAGCCCTGGTAAGATGAATGCGTATACTAATACATCTAATTATTTAATGATAAGAAATTTAAGATCAAAATTTCCAAACCAAAATATAATGCATAAAAATCGGTCAAAAATTACACGTGACTTTATTCAGAAATATACCAATTTTTCCCGTCAAACAACCATTTTTTTCTTCAAATGACTTTAACCTGGACCTGAAGACCTGTAATACAAGCATTCTTATACCCATCACAGGCTCCAGTCTCTCACTAATGTATATTTATATAAGATGATGTGTATCAAGTATTTTGTGAAGAGAGAATAAATGACTTAATGACTTTAATGACCTTAAAAAAAAACATCCTGAAAGAATAACAAATGAAACAAAACACACAACAATACGACGTAACAAAATGATAATTAGAAAAAATATTTATGCTAATAAGGAAATCAATTTATGGCTTCGTTTCATGTTAACATCATAATTAACTTTGAATTCTAGAGTTCAAATGTCTCGGAACATCGTATTACATAGCATCGCCTCACAACCAAGAAGATGTCCAAATGATTCTGTCCAGTGAGAGGAAACCTCACTGCTACACATTTAGAGGTAACGAACGCTTATGGAACAAATTGTAATATAAGAAACCCTTCATATTTTATTTGTCTATATATCACATAGCCAACATATGTGCCCTTTTCGAAAAACAAGTCTATTTTTTTACCCTTCCCTCCTAAAACCTTGTATTTTCCCGAAAAAAGTCCTTATAACACCACATTACCCATACCCATGAAATTCATACTATTTTTCTCCCTACATGCAAAAAATCTACAGAAAAAGACAATGTATTATGAAATCAAAGTTAAATTTTGAAAGAAAGCTGAATTTTGGTTACATTTCATTTAAGGTGCATTCGCATTTACCGGTTTCTACCATCGACACTCCGAAACAACATATGTAGGTCCACACGCAGAACAATTTCAAGCAAAAGATCCCAGCCAGGGTCTATACTGCCATTCTGACGATAATTGGAGCGACGCTCAATGTATTTACAAGTAGGATAAAGACATTGATATATATCTCTAGTCAATAAGTATATAAAGAAGTGTGAAGTATATAAAGAAGAAGTATATTAAGTCAGTGGTGGCTTAGTGGTTAAGGGGCCCGCCTCTCGTTGCCGAGGGCGCGGGTTCGATCCTGGCCCAGGCAAGTACCAATGTGATTTTTCCGAGTCATATGTACTTTCTAAGAATATTTAGACATCACTGATTAAAGCATTCCTAAAAGAGGGTTGATGTCAGGCAGGCGGCCGGTCGTAAAAACAATTAGCCAAAAACTATTCACATCATGTAAGGCAGACCCTGGCTAAAGCAGGGAAATTGCCAGGAAGAAGAATAAGTATATAAAGAAACCAACGTATTAAATTTTTTGTTCTAAACATCTGATTTTAGAGAAATTCAAAGTTTTAATTTCATAAATTTGATCAAAATTTATATTTATTTATGTCCTAGTCAATTGTACAAATATTTTAGGATTAATCCAAGGGAAGAGTTTCCCGAATCGGTGGAATATGAACCAAAGGTGTCCTACTGGTGTGGACCCTACAGATATTTCATACCAGCGACAACGGACATCAGATGCATCTTCTCAATATTTTCAATGAATTTCATACTACGATTCGGATACGACGGCGTTACGTACAAGAGTTCAGACCTGACGTTTGTGAGTTGATATACATAAGAAAACACAATGCGTATTTAAATATATATACATATATTTTTACTTTCGACTGTATAGTGCTTCACTTTCATTCCACCAAAGGAAAATGGTAGTGAAGTCGTGGGTGGTGAATGTAATATCCCATTATCAGATTATTTACCTTTCTTAAAGACACCCAAATTATAACTTGAAGGAAACAACATAAACCGAACAAAAAAGAAGGAAAATTGTTCCAATCCTTTGCTGTTCGCATGAGGAAGGATTAATTGAAACATTCAAATTATTCAAACCATTCAAAATATTTGGACAAAAATAAGACCCACAAAAAATTTCGTCATTGCAAAGTCCTAAGCGAAAAAAGAATACTTTCGGATTAAAACAAAATCCACTTATAACAAACCTAAAAGCTTGTAACTTGAGTTTTTTTGAGTTGCAACTTATTTCACCATAGGTCTATATCCTACTAATATTATAATTGCGAAAGCTTGTATGTATGTGTACCGATTTTGATAAAATTTTGTAAACAGGAAGCTGACGTCCGGGAATAGCACATAGGCTACTTTAAATCCCGGAAATCATGTAAATCATGAAAAAATCGACCATTAACATATTATTTTATGACTCAGATGTATCAAAACGGCCAAGTTTTCTACACAGACGAACCCTGGGCCGGCATGTCATGTTGGAACTGGGCCTGCAAGTGGAGACACAATCAGAATCAACGCTCCAACGAATTCTTTGTTAATTAAATACATATATACAAAACAAGAAAATAATGTTTTAACAATACAGATATGTGAACTAAATAATCGACTATAATTTTAAATAGATTATATAAAGTGAAAAATTCATTAAGACGAGCAGGATTTGAAGTTGTGACTATTGAAATATCACTTTCTAGAATCTTTAACATTTTAGCTACCATGTTTTGACTCATCTCAGTGAATTCATAGTAAAATATTTTTAATCGTCATATTGGCACGGAGATATTGCATATTTCCAATTATTCTTCTAAAATAAACTGTTTTATTACAATATTTTCATAATATGATTTTACTGCATGTCCCAAAAGTAAAAGGTCAAAAGGTTACTGATTATAGAGACGATTTAATTGAATTTTTCTACCTAAAATCATAAAGCAAGTTCTTGGTAACTAGATTTTAAAATGAACCAATATTTTGGTGACCTTTACCTTTCGGGACAACAGTGTATACAAAGCTATATTTTCAAACACTTCCAGACTTGATCTAAGGACTAATCTTTAACAGAACTTAAAATAAGAATTACAATAAAAAATATAACGACAAAAATATTTATTAATTAACAATAATTGATTTCTATAATCTCTAAGCTTATTTCATTAGTTAGAAATTAATTAATATTTATATATAATATGGACATTTCCATTTTAAAATGAATAATCAAATTAAAATTGCACAGAACATATTTCTTGTTGAGCTACCCAAATTTTCTATTTGCAATTTAAAATTAAATTAATTTCTAACTGATTTCACGAAGCAACATTTACATTTTATATCATACAAAACCTATTTAATAACATTTATTGCTCTGTCAATAAATCCATAACTCGCTACAATTTAAGTCCATTTTGGTACCAATTTTTTTAATAACTAACACTTTTGATAAATCTCAAACAATTAAACTATCAAAACACAAGCCAATATTAAAAAACTTCAACGAATTCGTTCAACATTCAACATTATATAGAATAATTGCATTTATATCTTTAAATGTCTGTCTGAAACCTAAAATAGTCACAACAATATAAAAATATACTATCACATAACTTGCATTTTATTTTAATTCACGTGTTTGAAAACAGATGGCACTTTTAATGTTTTGATATAGGGGAGAGCGGGGCTGAAAGTTCATTGGGTACATTGTATAGAAGCAAATAACTGTAAAGAAATTGATATCAAGTATGAAATCCTACGACCAAGAATTACAAAAGACAACAGTGTTAATAGACACGTCAGATATAGAACAAGCCTGTTGAATAGAACAAAATATAAGGAAAATGAAAGTACGAACAGAAATAGATAGAAGAAAGGAAAATGGAAAGGACGAAAAAATCTTTTAACCAATAAAAGTTTATTATTATTATTAAAAGATACGGGCAATGGGAAGGGAAAAGACAGGAGTTATAGGAAATAAACAGTAGCTAAAGAGGTGCTGAGAACGATTCAAGGCCAAGTTAGGAATGGATAGTGTTATATGAAAAAAAGGAGCACGTCTACAATGTGTTTTCAGTACGAAAACATTATTTTTAGTAACAAAAGCGACAAAATTTAAGGGAGAACTAACTAGCCAAACAACGGAGTTAATTGTTCTTTTTTTCTTTTTCCCAAAGGGGCAAGAGAGCAGACGGCCTACCTAATGGTAAGTAGTTACCGTCACCCATAGACATTTGCAACATATGCGTTGCCGGCCTTGTTTGTAAAAGAGCCTGAACACTTGCTATTTGAAAGACCCTAAGACCTCAGCTCAGAAACTCAAAAAAGACCATTATTCTTGACACAAAAACGAAATCCATAACACCTATAAACTTTCTATCGATGTGTTAATACGATATCTAAAAAGACCTATTTTTTTTAACTTCGAAGCAAATTTTGACACATTTTGAACTTTCAACCCAGCTGACTCAAGTCAATTCATTAAAAATTTTCATAGTTACCAAATAACTGCAAGTTTTATATATCTGTATTTGTGGGAAGGATATAAAAGTTAGACCTGGTATTACAATATTTAATGCCCAAAATGCTATATGGCTGGTAAAATGGAATGACTAGTATTTTTTGGGTCAATGTTACATTTCCGAAATCTTTTTCTATGTTGAAAACCAACTTTGTTACATAGAAACTGAAATCAATTAAAAGGTCAAGATGTTTCCCTTTTTTGGGACTGTAACTGTTATTACAAGAAATATGTCGTTAATTATAGTTTAAAAATACGAATAAAACAATTTGAATAACATTAATACATACATAGATTTAAGTTTCTATAAATATCTATTTTTTGTAGCAAAGACCTAAATAAAAATTGACTTTGTAATATACAATTGCATTTTTCTAATCTAAAATATAGAAGACTCTTATATGATCTACAACACATTAATTACAATTCTCTTCATTGGCTTATTTTGTATTGTAAATGGACAAATAATTTTCGAGACTATTAATGAGTAGGACAACTATTTATATGAATAAATATCTAATAGGGAAGTTATAAGACTTGAGACTATCGCAATAAAAACTTATTGGGTAGTTGTATAAATGAGGAATACCATTGAATCTGCATTAGTTTAGGAGCACCTTTAGTAAGAGTTTAGATATTAAACTAAATAAATGTTCGCCAAAACGAATGTTTAATGTTTCCGTTAGCACTTTGAAACATTTTGTTTCAATTTTAGGTGCAATATTTAATTACTTAAGATCTTAAGTAATTATGTCTCAGAAATTTAATAATTTATGCTCGTATGGTCTCAAATATCAAATATATCATTTTATATTAAAACTGTAATACAAATGCTAAATCTTTGACAATTACTTAAGACAAACTAAACCGATTTGGATAAAATTTTATACGTATGTAACTGTAATTATGGGATAGTTTAGGCTTTTTAATACCAAGTTAGTTTTTGAAGAAGAATTCATGTATTCTTACAAATTTGTACTAGAAATATTTTTGGCCGGATATACATATTTTACAAACCAAACTTGGGTCAAACGAAATAATAGAATGGATATAGGTAGCGCCACCAGCTGCCGTTGGTCTCTTCTTCAAGTAGAATTTCTTCTTCCTGAGTATCCTGTAATATATGACATAAACTCATAGAATTATGGGAGTAGCTGTCACAATTTTGATTAAAATTTATCATTTGCTAGAATAGAATAGAATAGAGAATTACACATCCTACTAATATTATAATTGCGAAAGTTTGTGTGTGTATATGTTTGTTACTTCTTCACGCTCAAACGGCGGAACCGATTTTGATAAAATTTTGTATACAGAAAGCTGACGTAGGAATAACACATAGGCTACTTTACATCCCGGAAATCCACGGGTAGCACCGCGGGGCGCAGGTTAAATATAATTCAAGCAAAAATTTTACATATGATTTTGCCTATGAGATTTTATATGGAAGGTGAAGATTAGAGCATCACCCACCACTCACCTGGCCATCTTTCTTTTCATCTCCATCGTCTTTCCTGTACGTGTTCTGTGTGTCGGGTTGTATGTCCGTCTTATTGCTTATACTCTGTAACAGATATTCATCCGTTTGCGATTCTTTGTCTTGGGTCGGTCCGTTTAACTCCGGGCCACGTTTTGACGACTGAAACATAAATAGTAACAAAATTTATATTTCGTCATGTAGGTTTGTTTATTAAAAATACATTTAATTGAAACTAATCTTTTTCGAATATACTACGGGACCTTATAATTATATAATTGTAAAAACTACATTCTCCCGACGTTTTGGCTATTTTTCGGCAACCGTAATCATGGGCAGACGAGATGTAACTCACGAAAATCTATTACGATCTTATTGCTACAAATACATCAGAATAATGTCGAAAATATATTTTATTAGAAATTCACTGCGTTCACCCATATGTAGGTGTGACGATAGTTGTATTTTACGTGGTCATATGATAGTAACCAGAGATGGCGCTACCGGTTAATTAGTACATATTTTTTCTGTTTCTTTCATATTCTTAAGTTAACCCGTATGAAGGTGAGGCCAAAACTATATTAACTATAGAGTTATATTGAACAATACGAAACAAAAATTCATTTACAGCACTGTAGTTACCTTCTTTTGTAACTGGAATTGTAATTGAATATGATCGAAATCAGTGCAGTAGTTTCTTTAAATATCATACATAAATTATCACTTTTACCTTATCTAAATAAAATATTCTCTAAGAATAAAAAAAACTCAGCTATTAGATAAAAGCAAGTGTAATGTAATCCAATATAAAATGTAGCGAATCCCCAAATAATAAATTCGAGCCACCGACCTCCATATCTTCTTCGAGCATTTCAGTTTCCTCTTGATTAACTACTTCCGGTCCAAACGGTATGAAATCTGGCAGATCCTAAAAGAAGTATAATAAAATTGCTATTAAATTTAATCTAAATTATCAACAAAAGATGTCAGTAGTGAGCTAATGTTAGAATATTAAATTCACTAAAAGCTCAATTGTATAACATAAATAAAGTTTTAATCAATTAATATTAAGTTTATGTAGCTTGATTTTTACAAATTCACTAATATTTACATGAAATCACAATAAGGTGATGAAAAATTCATGACTCATATATAAATTAATTATATAAAAAATTAAATTATTTAATATGTGATATTATGATTACCCTCCCTGTAGACAGGCCGATAGTCGTTCAGTTAATTGATGAAAAAGATTTCTGTATATTAATTATATTAAACTACAGTGTAAACTCTATATATTATTTCAGACTAGTGTTAGTACTTATGTACATAAAAAAGAATGTTATTCGAACGCTATTGCGTATAGTCTGTTATTTTTGTTTGACGTCTTTTGCTGCACCAGTAATGTTATTGTATTTTTTTACGTATTTTATTCATATCATGCGATATTGAGGCATCTTGGTGAAGAACGAATTTCTTAGAAAGTTGGGTATGCATGATTCCGACAGTCGAGTTTATTGTGGGCTAGGACAACAAAGCGACAAAAAAACGTACACAGCTGCGCAGTTTTTAGTAATTTTAGCAACTTTAAAGGTACTTTTTATTACTTAATTGTTGTCGTTATTGAGAGTGTGTGTGATGCTATGTAGAGTGTATCATTGTATGGTAGACAAGCTAAACTAATCAAAATCAATTGTTTTCGACGCTTTAGAGAGTTTGTCGTTAAATCGAGTGACGTTACATGGAGTTTATACTGTAATTCAGTGTGATATCATGACTACCTTCCTTGCAAACAGGCATTTAACATCGTTTAAAGAACGTCGATAGGCTGAATTGAGTCATTTCTATGACACATGTATGATTTGATGAACCCTAATAAACCTCACTAACCTGTGGATCTCTAAGTGCGGCCCAGGCCCTATATTCTGAGGCCGCTCGCCTCATGGTCTGTAAGTATATCGGCGCGGCCCTACTGCTGGCCCAAGCGGCTACACCACACGGCATACCGCCTACACCGGGCTCGTCGTAATAAGTCAGTACGAATTCCATTCCAGGCTGCAAGAAAAGATCCAGTTAATATATGTTTAATTGATTCAAATAATTAAATAATTATATGATGTATATGAGTAAATTTCGATTACAGGCTTTAAGGAAAAGAGTCAGTTAAGATATTTTTGATTCAAATAAATAAAGAAAATGATTTATATGACTAATTTTGGATTGGTTTGCAGTAACCGTGATCACAGGAAGAGATGAAAGTCGTAGATATTTTATAATAAAATATTTTTTGAGGTCTTTAACAACTTAATATAGTACATATTTTGAAAATTCTTACATGATAAAGTAGTAACCATGTTTATTACAAATGTGCATAATGACTATGTATTTACCATTATATACCTATCTTATGTATAGTGGTTGATATTATTGTAAAAAAATAATAAAAGAAAATAAGTATAAAAGGGAACACCTAAAAATATCAATTGACTTCAAAACATTACAAAATTTGGTACGATTTCATTAAAAAACCTAAAATGACTTAAGGAATCCTCGAATAAACATAATTATTGGATATACAAAATAGAATTTTATTCGTCATCAGCCTATTGGAGCCCACTGCTGGGCAAAGGCCTCTTTCTCACATGGAGAAGGTTTGAGCATTAATCACCAAACTTGCTCAAGACTGGTTGGTGATTTCAAACTTATAATTGTGAAACTATAAGTCCAGGTTTCCACACGATGTTTTCCTTCACCGTATATCAGTGATGTCTAAATACTCTAAGAAAGTACATATAACTCCGAAAAATCACATTGGTACTTGCCAGGTTTGAACCCGCGCCCTCGGCAATGATCATTACTCGTGATATATCAGCTACCCACCTTATCGCTGCCATCGATGCTCTTCACCACCATATGGCTCCAATACTCAGACACCCTGATAGCGTTCTTTGTCTCTGGAACCTCTGGATGTTCGCAGGACTTTGATATTATTATATACAACTTATTCCCCCGGTTCTCCTCATTTGCATTCTCTTCCATGGCCCTCTGTTTCGCTCTCGCGTGAACACTGTGCTCGAAGCTAGATTTCTTCTCAGTTTTTGGTTTATCGCTGGCAATTTCGAACTCCTTATGCCTCCTTATGTAAACGTAGTCGCGGTTCGCGAATAATCTCTGTAATTTAAGGAGAATATAACTTGTAACACTATTTTTATTATCTTCCTATGAATATATCAAAAGGTACTATTAAAAATCAATAACCAATACTATTAGTTGATAAAAACTATAATTATTTTTACATGCTTGTGAAAATTTGGTCTAGTTGTCAAAATTTTATCCCGAAAGAGGATAAGTCATCAAAACCATCGACATATACTAATGGACGTGCCGTACACGTATAATCTGCAGTAATTTTTTGGTTTGAAAAGAGTGAAAGAGATGGCCTATGCTTTCGGTCTAGCACTGTCTCTTTTCTCATAGATGACTGGCGCCATACGTCATTTTGAGAGAGATAAAGATAGACCGAAATTTCGTTTCCTCTCTTTCTTTCGGAGTGCCACAATTCTCATGTCTAAGGCATGTCCATTAGTATATGTCGATGATCAAAACTAATTACTGTCCAAGCAACTTACGCCATCTAGCGACGGAAAGAACGAACTAAAACAACTCTATCGTGAGCGCCATCTATTGTCAGAATCTCGTACTCACCGGCCACAGAACCTCCCAATGAAGCACAGCCTGTCCGGCAACATTATCAACATCCCTTTGAACTACAGACAGAGACGCGACCGCTGAATCCCACGAGCGACGGTAGGCGCCATCTACCTGCACAGCAGCGAAATCACTGGCTAACACTTCAGGATACCGGCCGTATACTGAAATGTATTATTTATACATTAAAAACATTTATTCAAACATTGTTAATACATTATTGTAAGTTTTAATTAAACTATAAGAATATCATCTAACTTTCATATCATTATCGTTGAATATTAATGCTAAAATCCTTGATAATTACTAATGACAATCTTTTTCTTCCTGGCAATTTCCCAGCTTTAGCTAGGGTCTGCCTTACATGTAATGAATAGTTTTTGCTAATTGTTTTTACGACCGGCCGCCAGCCTGACATCAACCCTCTTTGGGAATGCATTAATCAGTGATGTCTAAATACTCTTAGAAAGTACATATGACTCGGAAAAATCACATTGGTACTTGCCAGGATCGAATAAACGCCCTCATACATGAGAGGCGTGCCTTTCAACCACTAGGCCACCATTGACTATAATTACTAATGACACTGCTAAGCCGATTTGAATAAAATTTTGTATTTATGTAACTTGTAGTTGTGAGATAGCCAAAGGTTTTTATATACTCTACAGTAATATTGTAACATCAAAACAAAATTAAGATTAATGTTTGAATCATAATTCTAGTAGCAAATATTATATGTTATCATCAATGCGAGCAGGATTTGAACCTACTGTGTCATAAGTCATAACTAGTGTCCCGTTTTGGGCACTGTTCCTTTTATTACTGTCCCAGTGTCCCAAGAAAACCTTCTGGACGCCAAATTGACCCCTTTTCACTTACAAAATGCTCAATAATTCACTTAACTAATTTGAGTTATCACTCAATACTCAATCAGTCAATATACTTAAGAATATCAATATATGTGGCAAAGAATTATACATACATATTAAAATATATTAATATTTGATAAGAAACTTAAAAAAATCATTTAGTTAAATAAAAAATTATCACAAGTTGTGAGACTTTACTTTTACGATTTTATTTATAAAATATAAGTACCTACATACTTTTTTCTCTTTTATATAATATAAAGAATTTATAATACTAGCTTTATATAGAAAATGTGTAATAGATAACATAAATACAAACAATAGTAATTGAAATTATTTAACATCAATTAATTTCAATGACTCAAAACGAGAAATCAAACTCGCGACTTCAGGAATTGTAAATCCTTGTACTGATGAAGACCGAAATAATTCATTAATTGTTTTATATGAAACATTAATAAATTTTAATTTAATTAACACAATAAAACTATCTAAATAGCTGTATGTCTTTAAGTATGAGAAAAAAATTGTACAAAATTCTATCGAGACACAACGTGAGTGAATTTTTACCTTGATTTTGATGTATCATTAATTTATCTGCGATGTCATAACAAAACATTCTTTATAGGAGATAATACATAGAATATTCTTATCGCAAACATATACATATATATTATGTGAAGTGACGTCATCGAGGTCATACATTTCCATTGATTTCTCAGTAATGTCTTTGTAATACGAAGTGATTTCACGAATAGAGTTGAGATTCATATTAACTACTCGGACGAAAAACTAAAAATATAGAACTGTCAACTTTTTGAATAACAAATCAAACTTTCTACTATCAAAGAGTTTTAAGTTATTAATTATTATCTTAAACCAAAACACCTTCAATAACTTAATTTTAATCAACAAAAACACAAGTCGCGTCGACCAAATACTTTCCCGCGTAAAAGTGAACAAACCAAATGTCATCGCTTTAACGGCACTTCGGGTGCGTTTCTTCTTTAATTCTTTAAATCTTTATATCTTTGTATATATAATTCTTCTGTGAGTGTGTATATCACTGAACTTCTCTCAAACGACTGGACCGTTTTTGATGAAATTTTTTGTGTGTTCAAGGGGATCTGGGAATGCTTTAGATTCACAATTTTATCCGCTGGACAGTGTTTTTTAAATTAATTTATTAGTAGTTGTTAATACAAACGTTTTTTTTTACATTAAATTTGACAACTAACTATGTAATATGTTAATCATTCTGTCGCACTTCAAAACATGGATATTTATGGCTTTAATAGGTAAACTTCAAAAATATAAATAAAAAACGTAACAGATATTTCTTGATTATAGGGAGATACGAAGTTCGCCGGGTCTTCTAGTATACATATAAATACTAGTTTTTGCCCGCGACTTCGTCTGTATTAGACCGAGCGAACTCTACTCCTCCTTAAAGACAGTAGTAGATAAGATTTTGGATTTGGTCTAATCAATTGTTTTTTTCTTTTATGAATTTAATATGATGGTTGTACTAAATACCTTTATACGCATACAGAGCCTGTCCGGGTTTATACTCCTTCCTCCATATAATCACATCCTCGGCCTCCATGTACGGAACCCAGCCGTCAGGGTCACTATTCGTTTGGGGCTCCTTGCAACTGTGGAAATATTTGGGTATTAACGAAGATAATATAATTGACTTGTTACGTATACGTGGAAGGGGCTATTATAATTTGCGTAATATACATATATGTATACAGGGTGACTGGTGAGTTACTATCAATATTTAAGGAGCATACTCGGTACATGATTCTCATTCGAATTATGTAAAAAAAATAGGTACTAAATTTTTGACCAAATTTCCGTATAAATAAATAAAGTTTGGATACGTACTCATCCTTGCCGGCGCCAGTGTGTCGCTACTCCCCAACCCCCGTCCCGTGGCTAGCGGGCCATTAGTCGGCTATTAGTCGCGCGAGGGCCGCCGTAAGGTCCGTACGTTCGTCTTCCCGCGCGCGCGCCTAGCGATCGATCTTACGCGTATACCTAATAATAATCTGTCGTGTGTGCGTGTGACCCGTTATTACTTATTAGTAATTAAATATGGCTTTTCAATACACAAATGCAGAATACTTGGACATGGTTCATGCGTATGCGCGTGCAAATGAAAGCTTGCCGGGCGCAATCAATTTGTACCGGGAGATGTTCCCCAATCGTCGAGTACCTACGGCCAGCGTCATCTTAAACGCTAATCAAAGATTACGAGACTTCGGACAGTTCCGTGTTCTAACACATGCCCAAGGAAACGTCTTGTGTATGCTACAGAGTATGTAAACAGAGAGGAGTTGAAATTAAAAATCAATAGTGATTTCAAAACTATTAAAAGTGACCCATTCGTATTAAATCGTGTGAAAGACAATATGTGTAAACGTGCCGAACTGTGTATCACACGAGAAGGAGCTCCCTTTGAACATTTGTTAAGGTTAGTGTAGTTATGTAGGTAAATAGGTAGTTTAATGATTGACAATTGTTGTAAATAAGTATGATTCCATTTTTAAATACGCCGGAAATACCAAGATAGGTAAACAGTTCATATTATTTTTTGTGTCAAGGTCACACCATTTACCTAGTCAATAAATTGGTTGCTTAAACGAAAGAAATATCTTGGTATTTTTGCCTGTCCTAAGCCAGGATTAAAGTATGAAGGGAAATGGATCATTTTTGTTTATCTAAGGTCTAACACGCGGCGGCGCGCGGCGTTTGGATGTAGGTAAACTACCGCGCGATAACTACATATACCTACGTACATAACTGTTTTGTGTCGATAACGCAGCTAGGGTATCCACGCGATCCGTAATTAATTACACAACTTTAGGTTAACTTTACTCAGAAGTTTATTAATATTTATGTTATATTAATTTTTATTTTGTCATATATGATCGTCAACTACCACGTCCTTAAATATTGATAGTAACTCACCAGTCACCCTGTATATCAGGTTGAACATATTTTTCATTTTCAATAGTTTTGTCTCACTTTTTTTAGAAAAGCTTATACCAAAACAAGTATCAATAAAATACCAATATATAGATAAGAGTTATGAATTTAAATACATAAAAATAATCTCGTTTGACAAAATAAATGTACAGTGTGTGTGTGTGTATACCTAATCTGTAGGGTGTTCACACGATGCGTAATTAATAACATAACTTTTGGTTAACTTTACTCAGAAGTTTATTAATATTTATGTTATATTAATTTTTATTTTGTCATATATGATCGTCAAATATCACGTCCTCAAATATCGATAGTAATTCACCAGTCACCCTGTATAAATCTCGTCTTCATGATCACGGTTGCTGAAAAGTAACCGAAACATCGGTAGTATGTTTTAGAATAATAAAATACGCGCATTATAATATGAAAAATATTAGTTTCATTCAAATGAATACTCGCGAAATTCTTAGATCTCTTTAGACAGATAACACCATGCTGAATAACCAACAATATTATTCTTAGCAAGACTTGGTGAATATAAAAATTGGATAGAAACGAAAGTTCTGTACTTCGTAACTGAAAACTGATCTTTTTGTACTGATTTTTATTATCAACAGCTTATTATCACACTGCTGAGCAAACACCTTCTCACATGGAGAAGGTTTGAGCATTAATCACCACGCTTGCTCAAGACGGGTTGGTGATTTCAAACTTATAATTTAATATAAGTCCAGGTTTCCTCACGATGTTTTCCTTCATCTGTCAGTGGTGTCTAAATACTCTTATAAAATACATATGACACTGAAAAACACTGGTACTTGCCAGGTTTCGAACTCGCACTATCATGCGTGAGAGGCGTACCTCAACCTCTAAGCCACGACGGCTTATAATAGGAAGCTATATAGCATTTTCTATTGTAATATTTTCTATCCCTACTAATATTAAAAATGCGAAAGTAACTGTCTGTCTGTTTCGCTTTCACGCCTAAACCACTAAACTGATTTTAATGAAATTTGGTAGAGATGGAGTTGACCTTGATAAAGAACATAGGATAGTTTTTATTTCAGAGTTTTGAAAGGTTCTCTTGGAAACGCGATATATCCGAACTCCACGCGGACGAAGCTGCGGGCGGCAAGCTAGTTGTAATATAAACGAACACAAGGCCTCGTATTATTTGTTAGTATTAATTAGACAATACCCGCGACTTTGTCCGTCTCCTTGTACATATTAACAAGGTTTTCCTGTGTATAAGAAAAATACGTCACTGAAGACTTTGAGCCTGTGAGAATTGTAGACTGAAACAATTTTTTATTTAACGAAAATCTCGCAATAGTTTTTAAAAGTGGATAATATTCAACGAAATAAAGATTAATTGATTTCTGTACATTGCTTCCACCGTGATGCCTTTCGACTCACATATTTGCTGGTACCTCAAAAACGTATAATTTAAAATATGTATTCTCTTAAACATTTTAATATAAATAAAACGAAAGTTCTTCGTTTGTCAACCATATAAATAAACTACTTATTCAAATGAATTTACAATGGTCTTTAAAAGTTTCGAAAACTTAAAACCTACTCGCATTTTTTTTCTTAAGTAGCTTTTCGTGTATTTACTGACTTTTTCAAGATATTATCTAGATAGATTATAAAATTATCTGCCCTTAATTATATCGTCTCCCATACGTTCCAAAAATTCTAATTATAATTTGATTAGTAGAGAGGAGGTTGGACGGTGGAGGTGAGCGTTTAACGCGTTAGATAGGGTCCCTTAAACCTACACCTGGGTCACAAGTCCCAGTCACTGTTGAAGCTCCTCTCACTACAACGATGGACCAGACACACGCACTGTGAATACATTGAATGATGAGAAGATAATAATAAAATGGCGAAAAAATATATTAACAGTTTACCGACCAATCAGAGAGTCCCGTTTCATTTGACAATTAACGGACTTTCAACGAGACTTTAAACAATACAAAATAATAAGTGCTTCTCGAACACTATCCATGTGTTAGTTTAACACACACATACAAACATTTCCTGTATACATACACGAGATTTGTTGATCGTCCTTGAGAATTTTTGTATGGAAAATAAGTAGAGAGTGATTGTGCCTACCGCCGCTCTGGCTGCATAGCGGCGCTAGCAGTTAGCAGCGGCCGATTGAAAATGTTTCGTTTTTACGTCTTACTTTTAACAAATCATGAATTAAATGTAATATTAAATTTCTGTAAACATTTGTATTTCGTAATGTATGATTAAAAGTATGTAAATAAGAATTCAACAATATAACTTGGAACGTGTACACACTTTATTTATTTATACGGAAATTTGGTCAAAAATTAAGTACATATTTTTTTTACATAATTCGAATGAGAATCATGTACCGAGTATTCTCCTTAAATATTGATAGTAATTCACCAGTCACCCTGTATAGGTATTGTGCTTATTCAAATCTATGGTGTGCAAGCCGCTGTTTCAAAGTACATATTTACAATGGCAATGTTGACAAAATTTTTTGCTGAACAAACACACAACCAAACAAAATCTTAACAAACCGTTATAACGAAGATTATCTAAACTATGTGAGCCATAAGACACTTGACAATTAAAATTTTTAAATGTATTTAGTAACAAATACATATAAGTTTTAATAAAAATGTCATTCAAAATAGAAAAAATAAAAGTAATTATTTAAATTATTTTTAATATAGATGTAGATGAATTTTATTTAATCTATGTCTTTATAGTTCAAAAATAAGTATATAAAAATTGTTTAACAAATAGGTAAACTCTAGTATATTAGATTTTGAAGATAAAAATGAAAATATACCATATAAAATATAAAAATAAAGAACCAAATATATCTATGTTAACAATCATCTAAAACTTTCATGACTATGCATTTACATGAAACTAATATTTTCAGTTTACTATTTAACGGACATAGCACGGATCAATATTTCAGATCACGGTTGCTGCAAAGTAACTGAAACAGTATGTAGTTTAAAATAATACGAGAACGCATAGTATTGAAAACATTTAGTTTCATTAAGATTAGATAGATCAGTGTTTTTCAATCTTTTTGATATCGCGACCCCTTTATGGATTGAAAAATTTTTTCAACCCCATAGACAGGCAAGGAAATTATTAAATTAAAAATCTAAAGACATTCTCTGCAATGGTGGACATCAATACAAAAAACAGAAATAAACTTCAATCGCAAGCTGATTTGATAGTCATTATTTCAAAAATAGCACCACGACCTGACATGCTTTTCAAAAATAAACAATCCTATCCATCTCAGTAAGATTTGGTTTTTAATTTAGTTTAGAACTTATTTTTTTCTTTTTGCCAGCAACCCCCCCATCAAGTCTTCATAACCCCCCAGGGGTCGCAACCCACAAATTGAAAAGCACTGAGATAGACATTCAGGACTTAACAAGCCTTAGTGACGGTAACAAACAAACATACATATATATGTATATACACAATGTAACATACCCACAATAACTAACCCCGTTCTGTTTTCTGTCCAGCATCAGCCTCTTGCCGCAGCTGGTGCAGTACATCGTCAGCTTCGTGAGGGTCTCAGCATTATTGAGCTCCGACAACAGTGCCTGGTCATTAAAATATATATTAATGGCTTCCGATAACAATAAAATGGATGAGAATATTAGGAAATAATTAAGTTCCAAGCAATGATAGAACAAACCAACAAAAATTATACATATATAAGTTATAATTATAATTTCAAAAATCAGACATAGTTTCAGTTATAAAATATGCCAAATATATTTTTCTATTATTAAGAGCTTAATTGATATAAATTTAGAAAAACTTTCACATATATTTTTGGATACATAACTTATACATGTATATGTAGAAAGAGGATGGGCCATAGTAAAAAGAATGAAGTTCCTTTAAAATTAATAGTTTTAACCAGGTATAATTAGTGTTTGGACCAAATTATAACACCGGAATAATAATTAATTTGTTTCCACAAATTAATTATCCAAAGCTTTGTTTTAAAAGCACCACTACAGTTTCGCTTGGGTGACGCGCAGGCGCCGACATATACAGGGTGACTTGTGAATTACTATCAATATTTAAGGAGAATACTCGGTACATGATTCTCATTCGAATTATGTAAAAAAAATAGGTACTTAATTTTTGACAAAATTTCCGTATAAATAAATAAAGTGTGGACACGTTCCAAGCGTTCCTAGTGTGGACGCGTGCGGCGGCGTGCTGATACAACACCACGCCGCTGCGAACGAGTGTGTGTGTGTATACCTAATCTGTAGGGTGTTCACACAATGCGTAATTAATTACATAACTTTTGGTTAACTTTACTTAGAAGTTTATTCATATTTATGTTATATTAATTTTTATTTTGTCATATATGATCGTCAAATATCACTTCCTCAAGTATCGATAGTAATTCACCAGTCACCCTGTATATAAAATAAATAAAATTAACATATTTATTATTTACTTCCATTACAGATCATTCTCAAGATTGTAGTCAAGATAGTACTATCTTTAAAAAAAAATTTCAACTTCAAAACAACTCAGGAATTGCCAGTCATTTTATGTATTTGTGTATATATTATTTAAAATAGTTATGTTACATATTTTGTTATAAAATTCATTTAAATGAAGATAAGATGACAATAAAAATTTTAGTTTAAATGTTCCTATTAAATGTATTAAAATACATAATATATACAGTCACTAGCTTTACGCCCGCAGATTCGCCCGTGTGGAGATCGGTTATATCGCGTTTCCAAAAGAACCTTTCAAAAGTCTGGGATAAAAACTATCCTATGTTCTTTATCAAGGTCAACTCCATCTCTGTACCAAATTTCATTAAAATCAGTTCAGTGGTTTAGGCGTGAAAGTGTAACAGACGGACAGCGTTACTTTTGCATTTATAATATTAGTAGGGATAACTTTTGCAACACCATAATCTAATCTTTTTATTCTTTCTTTCTATTTTTGAGTTCATCGTGACTGACAGCTTTTATACAATAATACAATTATTTTTACTTAAAAGTCATAATAATTTGTCCAAAAAGTAACAATTTTCTTTGTACATTGGTTTGCAACAACAACTAAATCTTACATATATTCTAACTACAGTAAAACTCCAGTTATCCGAATTAATGGGGACCGGGACACATTCGGATAATCAAATATTCGGATAATCGGAGTTTTTTTTTTAAATTGCCATTGGAGAGAAAAAAAGTTACGTTTTGATATTGCACTATTTTTTTATTGAATTAAATGAAAGAAACATCATATGTTCACATGTATTAAATATAAATAATTGTACTTATGTACAAGTTTAGAAATAAAAATCATTGTTTTTTAAACATCTCCGTCAATGTAAGCTGTTTCGCGGTCTTCAACCGTTTTCGGGCAGCCAGGTCACGCATTCGCTTGACGGTGAGCACTTCAACATCTTCTCTCACACTTACATCAATTTCATCGTCATTGAGAATTTGAAAACCACTAGGTTTTAACCTAACCAAACACGGGCTTCGCGGGGGGAAGAATAATAGCGCACATAGACTTTTTTTGGACAATTTTTTTTCTGAAAGTGATTTGGATAATCGGCGATTCGGATAGTCGGAGTTCGGATAATTGGAGTTCTACTGTATAGCTAATATACATAGTAATAAAAAAAAATTACAATATATAATTATATACTATGTTCTTTTTAAATTTGGTTAGGTAGGGAGAGGAGCTTGGACAGTGGAGGTGAGTGTTTAACGTGCATGAGATAGGGACCCCTTAAACCTACACCTGGGTCACAAGTACCAGTCACTGTTGAAGCTCCTCTCACTACATCGATGGACCCGACACACGCACCGTGAATACATGGAATGATGAGAGGTTTCTTCTCATAGCTCTAAATAAATAATTTATACGTGGTTTATTTAAAAAAATGTGAAAATAAGACATGTTGACAACCATAATTAAAGATACAGAATGACAAAAAAACATTTAAATATATGAAAATACTATCAAAACCTCGTTTTTTGTTTTGCTCTATCAATTTTATTATTCTTATGGCTAACAAAATTATGTTTTCTTAGTATTTTACTGATAATTACATAATAATATTATATATTGATATATTTTCGGTTGTACATATTCTTAAAACTTTTCCTACATAGAATAGTTTTGAATAAAATTTGGAAATGGTGTAAAAATACATTCCAGTATATTTATATAGTTTAATTATCGAGTGATAATAAAATTTTAACTTTTAAAACTGCTAGAAAGGTCATATGATAGACTAATTGACTTTGTTCAGCGTAATACTCTGATTAATGATTATAATGTTATTTAATTATCATTTTATAAATAAAGAGTAAGTTCTATCACAATTGTAGACAAATATAATGAAAACTTCAATATTATCTGCGTAATAAACAAGTACGATCAGTTTTGGTCAGTAATGATATAGTGGATCGTAACTTTGATAGAAAATGTTATATATATGTTGTGGATATATCGACTAAGCAGTTATAGATGTATAATTTAGTGACGTACCTGCATTTCATCGTCAGATATTCCCTTTTCACAGCTGTGGGAATCATCACGACTTTTGTAAGCCGCTGTCGCCGATATTAATAGTGTCCGTCTGGGTCGGAGTATTGTCTGTTTGAAACACTGTATCACTTCCTTAGCACCCCAATCACGTATGCAACGTTTCACAACATCATTAACTAGGAATCTTCTCGTCCAAGCACTGAATATTCTTACATTAAGGTTCTTTAATAGAAACTTAAATCTAACAGTCGACATGCTAATACGGAACACTGCGAGCGATGTCACAGAGGATATTCCTTCAGGTTACATTAAATTCACATTTTAAATATTCGAAAATTAACAAAAGTTATTACCCAACGTGAGTATTAAATAATTGCGAAATATAACCTCTACTCGCTCGAATTTCCTTAACACCTTTGAAAACTTTAAACAATGTTGCCATAGTTTTGTTGATTATATCCCCGAAAGATTACATTTGTACTTGAACTTAACTTATATTAAACATTCCAACAATTCAAAATATTCTATTCAAATTTAAATAAGTTATATTCCTCTTTAAACGTACTCACTCATATAAAATATGGATACTATTACTAATTTTGATACAGATTATGTTCTTTTCTCTCTCCTCTATAACTCAAACACAGTAAACAATCTTTCTCTCACATCTCGTTTGCCCGTGATCACGGTTGCTGAAAAGTAGCCGAAACGTCGGGAGTATGTAGTTTCTAATCAAAAATAAAACGCGAAGTAAAATCCGAAAATATTAGTTTCATTTAAATGAGTACTCGCGAAAATCTTAGATCTTATTACTGTAAACATCTTTGTTTTACACAAAATAAACCCAAAAACAACAATTATTTTAAATATTTTAAATAGTTTCTTTCAAAACTTGCAAAAGATTTGCCACTTTTAATCTCTCTAACAAACACTCTACTTCAATATTCAGTAATCTCATTTTTGTAGTAACCTATCCTTAAATAAAGTACTTTTTTATTACTCTTGATTCACAAAATTTATAAAAAGTAATCAAAAATTATCTTTCAAGTCTCATCTCATAGTAATTTCATAATTACGTAACATTTAGACATACCTAGCTGATTTTTTTATTACCCCATCAAGTAGAATAATATTCTTATATTATATCTTAAATATGTTCTTACATAGAATTTGTCTTAATACAGAAAAAAATACAAAAATGTTACTTAAATTTAAAATTCTTTAAATTCATGTTCATTTTAATAAGTGTGAATATAGTCAGGGAAACTTTCCTTACAATAAGACTCAAAAACGGGTTTTAATTATTATATTTCGTGTAAGTTTCAATGTGTTCATCAAGTCATTTTGTGAAAATTTGTTTTAAATTGTAACTTATTGAATAATGAATAATGATATATTTATTTTTTTATTTTAAATATTATGAACTGGCAACATAGTGATTTTTTCTTTCATTTCCTCGATCGACGACGGACGGTGGCGTTCGTTCGATCGCTTGATTATTATTCACGTCATCTTTTTAGTTTCCAATGTCTGATTTTTCCATCCCACATGCTTAGGGGTAACCGAATTAAGAAAAAATCCAAGAATCCCCGCACAAGAAGAAAAGTACGAGTTAGATTGGCGAAGTTAAATGTGAACTAAAGTGTGTGAATAAAAGTTGCGAGGTGGCTCGTCTATCCGGTTTGATCTGGATTTGAGCAGTTTGAACTGAGTTCGGACTCCCTTTGCCTAGGATATATTTATTTTAAAAGTTTTGGTGTTGTGTTTTAAGTACTTATCGGTTGATTTACCGGTATACGGAAAGTTTTTATTGGTTAATTACTTAAGAAAACCAGATACAAAATGTCCGAGGAATCGTCCGCTGATCGCAATGTAGAAATATGGAAGATCAAAAAGCTGATAAAGAGCTTGGAAATGGCGAGAGGGTGAGTTGTGATTTACATATTATTTTTGGTTAAGTATTCATGTGGTGTTAGAATAGTGACGGCGCGAAGTTTTTGGCCACATGATTGGGTGAAATTGCCAACGAGGCTGCGTCATTGCTGTGAACATATGCGCAAGATGCATGCGCAAATCATAACCCCAAATTAACGCAAGAAAAAAATGCGCATTGTCCAAAGTTTTAGCTATTGTCTCGTACGATCGACTTAAATAACTAAAAGCCAACACGTAGAGCTCTCGAGAATAATGGACAGAAAATTTTGTGTACGTCAAATTTAGCACAGTTTTATAATATAACAATGAGTTACAAGTTTTTAATTTAAGTTACTTGTGTAGGTAATTTATGTAAAATTAAATGTAACTTAACCATACGTCACACACGATTAAAAATTAATATCTACCGCCGCTCGGAAAAACAATTTCGATTGACCAATTACTATTTAAAAAAACCCGCTTGGAAAAGCGATTTCTATCGACTTCACTTAAAAAAACAAGACGCGTTAGTCTCTTGAACAGTAATACCGTCAATTAGACGAGAAAAATACTTATATTTTATTATTTATTTTAATGTTATATCATAAAGATTAAAGGTCGCGTCATTACGAGACATCGACTAGTTATATCTTGCGGTTCTGCTCGTAATTATGTTATTGTACTAAAACATAGTAATAGACATGTTTTCTGAGGTCATGTATAAATTAGTATATGATTTTCATATTAATGAAAGTTTTGATATGATTAATTTATCATATTTTTTCTTATTTTTGTTTCATATATTTAAAAAATGCTATATTTGTAATTTTTAAACTTAGAATTCGATTGACCAATTAAAATTGAAATATTCAGTGAGTAATTTTATATTACAAACAGAATTCAAACCTTCTGAGATAGATGCTATTTTAATTTGGCTTATGTTTTTGTAAATTTTCTATAAATATTTTTATTTATATCCTAAAAAAACATGCTTTTAATTATCACCATATAGTTATATTTGTTATATTTACCAATTCATGGAGTATATTTATAATTTATTAATAAATTAGATGAAATACACTATACATCTTTTAATTGACACACTTGTGTAAAAATTATAATATATGTATCAACAATAAGTTATTAAATTTATAACTAAATAGAGGATATTAAATATGTTTTACCTAATTAAATTAACATCAAAATGTTAGTTTTGTTGTGTATTAAAAAATGTTATTAATTTTCAAGTAAATTCCAAATAAATATAACATTGAATTTGAGTCAAAGTTTATATTAATAGAAAGTATATAATGATAACCAACCCGTCTTGAGCAAGCGTGGTGATTAATGCTCTAACCTTCTCCATGTGAGAAGAGGCCTTTGCTCAGTAGTGGGCTCTGATAGGCTGATGACACACATAAAGATATTATTTTTATATAAAATGCATTCAATAATTAAATGTATTAAATATATTATATTAAATAAACATCACACACACTACTTCATAGTTAATTAGTTTAATTATATACTAATAGTTAACTGTTATTCCACACTTGTTAGTTAATTTGGGAAAATAATATATATGTCTATATATATTTGCCAAAGTAAATGACATTGTAAAGCCCATTTATAATATTAAAATAACACAACTCTACCAACGGCATGTGCAGTCAAAACTCATAGAATTAATATAATGTTATTACTTTTGTCTGTCTGTCCATTTGTTCTATCTTATCTTTGAAACTGCAGGACTGATTTTGATAGGACTTTCAGTTTGATATAGTAATGAAATTCAAAAGTCTCTGAGCATGTTTGTTGCTTCTTATCTAAGAAACTGCTTAACAGATTTTGATAAAGCTATAGTAATGTAGCTTGAGCTCAGAATAAGATATTTAGGCTAAAATTTATTCCTTTATTTCGCATGGACCCTTCAGGATAGCTTAAAATTCTTTATATGTAGTACAACTTAATATGAAACAGAAATATATGTCTATCGTTTTAAAATGATGGCAAAGTTCAGGCGACCCAAGTCGCAGGCAAATAGTATATTATCAATCATTTAGAATAGAGTAAAAATTTTGCAATAATAATCTTCTTCTTCTATCTATCTTCTATCTACAGGGTGACTGGTGAATTACTATCGATATTTGAGGACGTGATATTTGACGATCATATATGACAAAATAAAAATTAATATAACATAAATATTAATAAACTTCTAAGTAAAGTTAACCAAAAGTTATGTAATTAATTACGCATCGTGTGAACACCCTACAGATTAGGTATACACCCACACTCACACATACGCGTGTCGTGACGTGGTGTTGTATCAGCACGCCGCCGTACGCGTCCACACTTGAACACTTGGAACGTGTACACACTTTATTTATTTATACGGAAATTTTGTCAAAAATTAAGTGCCTATTTTTTTTACATAATTCGAATGAGAATCATGTACCGAGTATTCTCCTTAAATATTGATAGTAATTCACCAGTCACCCTGTATATATATAAAAATGGATTGCTGTTCCTTAGTCTCGCTAAAACTCGAGAACAGCTGAACGGATTTATCTTATCTTAGTCTTGAAATGTTTGTGGAGGTTCAGGGAAGTTATAAAAGCTGAAAAAAATTGGTTTATTACTGGGAAAACCATAAAAACAGCCCTTTTCTATTTCCCATACAAACGTTTTTTTGACATTAGATTTGATAACTAACTAATATGTCAATCATTCTGTCGCACTTCAAAACACGGAGATTTATGGCTTACAGGTAAATTCCAAAAATATAAATTAAAAACGTAACAGATATTTCTTGATTATAGGGGGATACGAAGTTCGCCGGGTCTTCTAGTAAATTATATATCTCATGGTAGCACTTCACTTGGCGTTTATTTGTTGTGTTTGGCCAAATAAGATCATGTGTGGGGGGTTTATTCGTCTTCATTTGACTTATTTGCACAAATAAGACACATACACAAATAAGTGAAAACGCGTAAAGACGTTGTTGGCATGCCAAGTGTGGATGTCGTGTTTGCGATATTTGGACTACGTATAAATATTTGGACAAATGCGGCGAATACGCAACGCCAAGTGAAGTGCCACCTTTAAATATGATATGTAGTAGGCTTGATTGTGTTTACATAAATTTTTGCTGTTCCATCTCTAGTGACAAGTTTTTTAATATTATATGTTACTTGATTTTTTATTATATTTTCGCGAGTATTCATTTAAATGAAACTAATATTTTGAGTTCACTACGCGTATTTTATTTTCGATAATAAACTACTTACTCCCGACGTTTCGGTTACTTTACAACCGTGATCACAGGCAGACGATATCCTGCTAGTAATATAATTGCGAGTTAGTGTGTGTGTATGTTTGTTACTTCTTCACGATCAAACGGCTGAACGGATTTTTATAAAATTTTGTATACTGGAAGCTGATGTTCAGGAATAGCACATAGGCTACTTTACATCCAAGAAATCCGCGGGTAACACCGCGGGGCGCAGCTAGAATTAAAAAATAAACAGTGAATATTGTCTTCCAGGAACGGTACATCAATGATATCACTCATTATACCACCGAAGGATCAAATCTCGAGAGTGTCCAAGATGTTGGCTGATGAGTTCGGTACGGCGTCCAACATCAAGTCGCGAGTGAACCGGCTGTCTGTGCTCGGTGCCATCACATCTGTGCAGCACAGGCTCAAGCTGTACACTAAAGGTGAGATTGGAACACACACAAACACATACACATGCACAGACACACATATAACAAAACTACCCACTTGTAAATTGAATGCATTGAAGGAGTAAAACAACTCATGTAATTATATCTTAAGAACGACATTTAATATTACTTGAATTTTTTGTTTTCATGTAAGTGACGTGTCTTTTTTGGAAAATAAAGATCTCTAAACCTACATATACAAGGTTATACCTTAATACTTTAAGAGATGATAGTTTCAGTCTTTTCTGACCGATTTAATAAGGAACCCCCATATGCCGAACATAACCGTTCTCAAGTTATCTGCCTTTGAATATTTTGTTATAAAATACCGATTATTTTTTTCGACTGCAAATTTTTGGTGTTTCGACTCAATTTTGTGTTCTTTTTACTATATTTGTGTGGACGGTCAGTTGTTTTGTTATTTTAAACCGTAAATTTACAAGTAATTACTCCAACTTAGTCGTAGATCGTTGAATTTTCTTTGCGAGATATTTAACAGAGTCTATGAGAGATTTTCTGCAATACTATAAAAAAATATATATTTTACTAGCTTTCCGCCCGCAGCTTCGACCGCGTGGAGTTCGGTTATATCGCGTTTCCAAGAGAACCTTTCAAAAGTCTGGGATAAAAACTATCCTATGTTCTTTCTCAAGGTCAACTCTATCTCTGTACCAAATTTCATTAAAATCAGTTTAGTGGTTTAGGCGTGAAAGCGTAACAAACAGACAGACAGAAAAGTTACTTTCGCATTTATAATATTAGTAGGGATATCTTATTTTTGGCCTATATCTTCTCTTTTATATTAATATTCTAAATATATTTGACACGAATAATTTAAGAATAGAGCACATGTTAGTTTCGTCGACTTTTCCTTTAAAGTTCCTCGCATTTAGGTACACTATAATAGTGCATTATAATTTTCCAAGTGTTATTTGTATGAATCAGTATTTCGATGTTTTGTATGGCTTTTACAAAGAATTTAATGAATACTTATCAATGATAATATGCACTTATTAAAACTCATACATTATAATAACATTGACAATATACATTATGCTAAAATTTTCAAATATGAATATGAACTACCCGGGATGGAACCCGGAACCCACGACTACATATCCGCCACTATAACCACTGCGCAAGACAGTCCTATTATTTTAAGTTATATTACACTACCATTTCTTCGAGGAGATCGTTATCGTACCAAGTATCCTTAGTCCTCACAACTAGATAATTAAATACGTACCGTTTCCTGTATTTCTTTTATTAATAGTTCTATGTGATAAAATTCACGTAAGTGTGAATTATTGACCATGCGGAATCCTACTAAGGTTTCCAGACTTGTTGTTAATAGTAAATATGTATTTACGTATATGTGTGAGTGTCTGTGTGTGTATTTCTACTGTACGTATATGTCACTGGTCTGCTCCTGAACGGCTGGAGTGATTTAAATGAATTTGTTTGAATGTCGATTCTTAATATTCATGAATGTAGATTCGTGAATGTAGACTCGCAATTTTTTTTATTCGTATTCGTGAATGTCAATGCCTAATGCTCTTATTCGTATTTCTAATCTCGATGTCTAATTTTCTCATTCGTATTCGTGAATGTCGATTCTTAATATATATTCTCATTCGTATTCGTGAATGTAGACTCGCAAATATTCTCATTTCTATTCGTCTATGTCAATGCCTAATATTCTATTGGTAATCGTAAATGTCGATTCTTAATATTCTTATTCGTATTCGTGAATGTATACTCTCAAATATTCTCATTTCAATTCGTGACTTTCAATACCTAATATCTATTCGTATACGTTAATATAGATGTCTAATTTTCTCATTCGTATTCGTGAATGTCGATTCTTAATATTCTCATTCGTATTCGTGAATGTCGATTCTTAATATTCTCATTCGTATTCGATAATGCTTATAAAATTACATTATGTATTATACGTCGCACGTATATACTATATATAGTGTGTTTGCTCTCCTCGTCATACGACCCTGGTATGTAATATTAACCACAGTGATTGATGCACAGCTAGCTTCCTTGTTAAAAACGTAACGACACTGTCACAACACGCCAACCTTAAACATACTAATAAACTAGCTGTCGCCCACGACTCGCCTCGCATAATTTGTTATGTAACGAGGTACAAGGCAACTTTGTGATTATATAAATTGTTTGTTTGTTAAAATATGAGAAATGTACTTATAAAATTTTATAAAAACTTATCCACTGGTTTAAGTTTTGTTGCTCTAACAATCATTGTATTTATATACATAGATTGAAAGCATATATGTCTGTGTAATGTATATAATGGGGTTAAGAAAATCGGTATTTTACTTAACAAAAAAATACATCTCGCATCATGCTGTAAGTCAGTGAGTGAATGTACCACCAGCTCTGTATGTAGTACAGTTGTTAATAACTATAGTAAAATTATATTCATATACTAGAAGACCCGGCGAACTTCGTATCGCTCTATAATCAAGAAATATCTGTTACTTTTTTTATTTATATTTTTGGAGTTTACCTATTAAAGCCATAAATCTCCGTGTTTTGAAGTCCGACAGAATGATTGACATATTAGTTAGTTGTCAAATCTAATGTCAAAAAAAAACGTTTGTATCAACAACTACTAATAAATAAAAAATTAATTAAAAACACATTGTCCAGCGGACAAAATTGTGAATCTAAACCATTCCCAGATCCCGTTGAACACACACAAAAAATTTCATCAAAATCGGTTCAGTCGTTTGAGAGAAGTTAAGTGACATACACACTCACAGAAGAATTATATATACAAAGATATATTTGGGATATATCATCAACTAGAAGTCGTGGGGTTCGACTTATGATGGTGTTATGATACGGTCCATTACACACAACTCACACACATATATACAGGGTGACTGGTGAATTACTATCGATATTTGAGGACGTGATATTTGACGATCATATATGACAAAATAAAAATTAATATAACATAAATATTAATAAACTTCTGAGTAAAGTTAACCAAAAGTTGTGTAATTAATTACGCATCGTATGAATACCCTACAGATTAGGTATACACACACTCACACACGCGCGGCGGGGGCGTGGTTTTGTATCAGCACGCCGCCGCACGCGTCCACACTTGAAACACTTGGAACGTGTACACACTTTATTTATTTATACGGAAATTTTGTCAAAAATTAAGTACCTATTTTTTTTTACATAATTCGAATGAGAATCATGTACCGAGTATGCTCCTTAAATATTGATAGTAATTCACCAGTCACCCTGTATATATTTTAATTTATTTGAGCCATTTTCAACATAAACAATTATCAATATTAAAATTAAAATTTATACATTGAATTATCTTTGAATGATTATTATTATTGATCTATTTGTAAACATCTCAATGTATCATATCATTTAAATGAAACTAATTTTTTCGGATATACAACGTGTGCTTTTTGTAAAAAACTACATACTCCCGACGTTTCGGTAACTTTACAGCAACCGTGATCATGGGCAGACGATATATGGATGTTTGTCAGTTGATCAAGTAGTATATCCGAATAATATTAGTTTCATTTAAATGAATAAAACTCGCGTAAGTCTTATTTATCTTTTTTTTTCACACCCAGTTCCACCAAACGGTCTCGTCATATACTGCGGCACGATCGTCACAGAAGAGGGTAAGGAAAAAAAGGTGAACATCGACTTTGAACCTTTCAAGCCGATCAATACGTCGCTGTACCTCTGCGACAACAAGTTCCACACGGAAGCGCTCACCGCGCTGCTGGCTGATGATAATAAGTTCGGCTTCATAGTCATGGATGGTAATGGAGCGCTGTTTGGAACGCTGCAGGGGAATACTAGAGAGGTATGTACACACACACACACACATACACATAGAGACATACAGAGATACGCAGAGACGCACACATACACGCACATAGTGATATACATATCCACGTACTAACATAAATAAAAGCACTCACACATACTCACGCAGGAGGTATGTACACACTCCGTACCCACGTATAGACATAAACCTACAGACGTACACACACGTACATACACACATGTACAGTCTCACACACACACACGTACGAATATACAGACATACGCACAAACTTATACAGTCACTAGCTTTCCGCCCGCAGCTTCGCCCGCGTGGTGTTCGGTTATATCGCGTTTCCAAGAGAACCTTTCAAAAGTCTGGGATGAAAACTATCCTATGTTCTTTCTCAAGGTCAACTCTATCTCTGTACCAAATTTCATTAAAATCAGTTCAGTGGTTTAGGCGTGAAAGCGTAACAGACAGACAGACAGAGTTACTTTCACATTTATAATATTAGTAGGGATACAGCAAGCACGTACGAATTTACAGACATACGCACACATACAGACATACATATAAGTAAATATATACAAATGTGAGATAATAACTTCGAGTATCTCTGTACAATACACGTTTGTTTCTAGAAATGTTTAGACAATTATATTATTTGTTGTAAATATAATGAATTTTGTATTTTTTATATCCTAATAACGCGAATAACTTGAAAAATTAGAAATAAAATTTAGTATAATCTACAGGGTGACTGGTGAATTACTATCGATACTTGAGGACGTGATATTTGACGATCATATATGACAAAATAAAAATTAATATAACATAAATATGAATAAACTTCTAAGTAAAGTTAACCAAAAGTTATGTAATTAATTATGCATCGTGTGAACACCCTACAAATTAGGTATACACACACACACACACACACGCGCGTGTGGCGGCGTAGTGTTGTATCAGCACGCCGCCACACGCGTCCACACTTGGAACACTTGGAACGTGTCCACGCTTTATTTATTTATACGGAAATTTGGTCAAAAATTAAGTACCTATTTTTTTTACATAATTCGAATGAGAATCATGTACCGAGTATTCTCCTTAAATATTGATAGTAATTCACCAGTCACCCTGTATATCGCACACTTGAACCTGAAAAATCAAATCACTGAATGTATCAGTGTTATTTCAAATAAGGTGATCAAAATCACGAGTATAAATGAGACTGAAAGTTATAAACCCGGATAGCACTAATTTTAGTTCCGATTTTTTAACGATACTTAAAGATGGCATCCTTATAGTCCTGCAAGTGTATGTAACTTATTTTTGACTAATTTTGAATTATTAGCTCACTTTAATACTATGCGATATATAATATCCATCCATTCACACATATTCAATTAATTTCCAGGTGCTGCACAAGTTCACGGTTGACTTACCCAAGAAGCACGGTCGCGGTGGTCAGTCAGCTCTCCGTTTCGCTCGTCTCCGTATGGAGAAGAGACATAATTACGTGAGGAAAGTCGCAGAGGTGGCTACACAACTGTTCATTAGTGCTGATAGACCTAACGTAGCTGGTCTCATACTCGCCGGTTCCGCGGACTTCAAGACTGAACTGTCGCAGTCTGATATGTTTGATCCGGTGAGTCTAGACTGGAAATTGATCTTATAAGAGAAGTCTAGATGTATGGATGTAGGTCAGATATCAGGATATTATGGTTGGTAATAATATAGTGAAATTTAGAGTTTAAGACTGAAATATTCCTGTCTGAAATGTTTGATCCGGTGAGTCTAAACTGGAAATTGATGGCCTCTACATATAAGAGCCAATGTGTAAATGACAATTCTTCTGTAGAGGTGTTCTAAGTTTGATTTCAATGTATCTGTTACATGTGACAACTGATGCTTTTGAAACTTTGCATAGCAACTATGACATACATGAACGTCATTGAAGCTTGATAAACTTTTTTATAAACCTACTAGTTTTTTAAATAATGTACATAAGCCCTTATACATTTAAAACTATGTTACTTCTGCGCTTTTACTGTAATAAAAACTTAAGTCTTTCCAACAACATATACGCACTTTTTAAATGGATGTTTTAAATATCGTATTATTATTTATTCAAAGCAAAAAATGATAATGGATAAATTGCTACATTCCCATAATACATAGGACCCATAGATATCTATATTATAAAGACGCTGTCTAGATATCTGGATGGTGATTTTGATGAAGCTTTGCAATAATGTAACTCAGATATCAGGATAATATGTTTGGTTGTACTATAGTCAAATTTAGAAGTTTTTCAGGGAAAAAACACGCTTGTTTAAGACTACAGATGTCACTGGCAATTGGTTAGGGGTTGTCCATTAATCACGTGATCTTTTTTTTAGCATTTTTTAACCCCCCCGCTCCCATTGGTGATACGTAGTGAGGTTTAAGACCACCCCCCTCCCCCTTCTCAACATCACGTGTTTTTTTAGTACCTACAACGAATCTTAAAATTTTCTGAATATTATCTTAATTTAAATACAGGTATAAACTATAATCTTATTTTATTCTGAAATTAAGGACCATAATAAATTAATACTTGTTTAAAAATCGCGCGTTAGACGAAAAAATAAATACACGAGATATCTTACTACACCCCCCCTCCCCCTTGTGTCATTTTCGTGATTTTTATCAACCCCCCCCCCCTTTCAAGCCTCACGTGATTAATGGACAGCCCATTACAGAGTGTAATATTTAAGTATACATTATAAGTTTCTAGCTGAAGAAAATCTCAATGTAGATTGTAGTCGAAGTTGTGGCCATAAATTATTAATGTATAAAACATATACACACACAAATAGTTACAATTTGCTTTACATTCATACCTTCTTTGATGTAAGCTCCCTTAGTGTGTTCTATCGTCTGTACAATGGGGAATGTTCCGAGGAACTGTTTGATGTAGTGCCATCGTCCACATTCCACCATCGTACTACTCGGCGTAGGGTTGGATTTCACCCACATCATCTGGATGCATTCAGTTGCAGGACTGTACGTGCGTCGCGTTCATTTTTTTCACGCACGTGCAGGATGTGGAATGATCTTCCGCCCGAGGCTTTTCCAGAGAGCTACAACATGGGGTCTTTCAAACATCACGTGTTCAGGTGGCTCCTTCACAAACAAGGCCGGCAGCGCATCTACAACACCCCTTGTGTTGCAGATGTCCATGGGCGACGGTGACTGCTTACCATCAGGCAGGCCGTCTGCTCGCTTGCCCCTTTGGTTAAATAAAAAAAAAAAAAAAACCTTCTATCATATAAAAATTATTTATACATAAAAATCCAACAATTTCCTCAACTATGTCACATTATCTCCACCCACTAATTATTACCTAATTCTTAATTATCAGTATATACAACCACTAATTATCAACTAATATATTTCCAGCGTCTCCAATCAAAAATCATCAAATTGGTGGATGTGTCATACGGAGGTGAAAATGGTTTCAACCAGGCCATTGAACTGGCAGCCGAGTCCCTACAGAATGTTAAGTTCATACAGGAGAAGAAACTCATCGGCAGATACTTTGATGAGATCTCACAGGTATAATATATATAAGAATTTTTTTATGCTAAAAGGGTGTAAGTAGTAAATGGCAGAAGTCAAACAATTGCCTATTTACATTCGATATATTAATGATGTTGCAGACCGTCGAGGATAGTGCAAATCCGCGTAACTACCAGTAATAAATTAAACACTAAATAATTACTATTTGTGAAAAAATTACCTTTAAAATTCGTTAATATAGAAAATATTTCAGCGTAAACTTTCTTCTGATAATCTGCTTCCAATGTAGATACGCGGAATTATCTAATGCTAGTTACACAGATTTGCACTATCCCCGACGATATGTGTCACCACCCTTGATTAGGGAAGAGGGGAAGGAAAATGCGGGAAAGGGAGGGAAAAGGGAAGAAGTAGGAAAGGATGGGACAAGGGAATAGACAACCGTCTCTCACTCATTGGAAGAAACGCAGCCATTAAAGGCTACTTCACGCCGATCTTCTGTGAGAGGGTGGTACAATAAGAAAACTGAGTCTATGTGTAATGTAACATTTATCAAATTAGTTAAGTTAATAAATGGCTTTTATACCACAAATGTCTGATGATGAAGCGAACGAAGTTCTAGCAATCTTAAGTAGTTACTGTTACCTTATTTTCTTAGATTTAGAAACACAAAAAATTTTGAATACTATACAAACAGATTCATGTAATGTACGCAGATTTGTTGTGAGACCTACTCGAAAATATATTCTATGTGTCTTAAAGTTAGGGGAGATCAATATTAGCTAGACCTAGAAAAAATAATATTGTGTTGAAAGTGATTTGTAATTTCATTTACTTGGGATAAGTGGGATGAGTGGGTCATAGACAAAATAAGTTTGGAAACCCCTTGTATATGGTAACATTAGTAAAGGTCAGTCAAGATTATGACTCAGTTACGTGACTTGCACGTGGAATACGTTATTCCCACGTACATGTAAAAAAACGTATTTGTTAACTTATACATGTTTATTGTTCATGAAACATGATGTTTTATTTGTTGAAACATTCATATACTATAATAATTATAGCTTTCCGCCCGCAGCTTGGCCCGCGTGGAGTTCGGTTATATCGCGTTTCCAAGAGAACCTTTCAAGAGTCTGGGATAAAAACTATCCTATGTTCTTTCTCAAGGTCAACTCTATCTCTGTACCAAATTTCATTAAAATCAGTTCAGTGGTTTAGGCGTGAAAGCTTAACAGACAGACAGAAAGAGTTACTTTAGCATTTATAATATTAGTAGGGATAGAGGAATTTTGTAGAAATAATAATTTGTCTTATCTAGTATTCAATGCCATCTATAACGGCTAAATATATTTGGTATTTTTATACATATTTATAATATATATTCTCGTTTCCAGGACACGGGGAAATACTGTTTTGGTGTTGATGATACATTAAGGGCTTTGGAACTCGGAGCTGTTGAGACACTCATATGCTGGGAGAATCTAGACATACAAAGGTAAAATACTTATTATTATATGTTGAATTAGTTGAATACATATATATAATAATTAAGATTAACACTAGTTTTGCGGGGTGTGTCTTATATACCTAGCTCTACAAGCATGAATGATGAAAATACGTATTTACTTTTAAAAAAATCAATTTATTCAAACTAAATCTATTATCACATTATGCTACTTATTCTCTCACAATAATATACATTTTTATGTAAAAAACTATATTTTAATATAAATCGTGTTTAATTTTCACAGATATGTTTTGAAATCTCACGCGACCAGCCAGGAGACCATCTTGCATCTGACACCGGAACAGGAAAAAGACAAGTCACACTTCACCGACAAAGATGTGAGTGGATTTGATTTGATTTGATTGGATTTGATGAGTGAGAAGTATATAGTCGGGGATAGTGCAAATCTGCGTAACTGCCATTGGATAATACCGCGTATCTACATTGGAAGCAGATTATCAGAAGAAAGTTTAAGCTGAAATATTTGCTATATTTACGAATTTTAAGGTAATATTTTCACAATTAATAAGTATAACACCAAATAATTAGTAATTGTGAAAAAATTACCTTATAATTCTTTAATTTAGATAATATTCCATCTCATACTTTCTTTTGATAATCTGCTTCCAATGTAGATGTGCGTAATTGAACTATCCCCTTGCGATATCAATTATAGCCGTGGTTCCCAAACTTGTTTTTAATCTACCTAGTTTGAGAATATATTAGTGCTTCAGTTATTGAAAACTTACTATTACTTATCCTATACCAAAGCCTCCAGTTTTTTTTCTGTATATCCTACTGAGCCTTTTAATCTTATATAGCCCACATTCTTTATCGGCCACTTTGAGAAATGCTGGACTATATTATATTATTATATATCACCTTCTGTTCATTTGTCTAAAATGTAAGTAGCATTTTTTTGCTAACCATATTATGTCGATGGTATTTTTTGGTCTACATAATATAAATGTGATAATATTTATATGCTTTATAGCATAAACGATTAGTATTATTATTTTACATACCGAAAGATTCAGGTTTACACATATTATTTATATGTTATGTTCATGACATATAATCTATATATAAAAATGAATCCCTTTTTCCCTTGGTCATGGCATCATGCGTGAATGGCTGGACCGATTTCACTAATTTTATTGTATTTGTTATTATTAGGAGAAGGTTCTGATAAAAGAAAAAATTACGAAAATTACTACAATATTTCACTTTTTTATTAAAATTATGTGTCACTGACAGTAATATTCACGTATAATAATAAACACTTTGTTTTCGGAATAATTTTGATTTATTAATATACCAATAAGAATTCAATAATCACAGTTAAGAAGACAGAACATTGTCTGTCGAGTCAGTTATACTTAATAAAGAAATTAACTTCATTGAGATAAAAAGGTAACAGATAATTCTTGATACTGGCGGTACGAAATTCGCCGGGTCAGCTAGTATATATCTTCTTCTTCTACCTGGCAATTTCCCAGCTTTAGCCAGGGTCTGCCTTACATATAATGGATAGTTTTGGCTAATTGTTTTTACGACCGGCCGCCTGCCTGACATCAACCATCTTTAGGAATGCGTTAATCAGTGATGTCTAAATACTCTTAGAAAGAACATATGACTCGGAAAAATCACATTGGTACTTGCCAGGATCAAACCCGCGCCCTCATGCTTGAGAGGCGGGCCTTTTAACCACTAGGCCACCACTGACTTTCATCTAGTATATATATATACTAATAAATTACTCTATAACCCCACAGACCGGTGTGGAATTGGAGCTTGTGGAATGTCAACCTTTGTTGGAGTGGCTCGCTAACAACTACAAGTCGTTTGGAGCGACCCTGGAGATAATAACTGATAAGAGCCAGGAGGGGAGCCAGTTTGTTAGAGGATTCGGTGGAATTGGCGGTGAGTACGACATACATACATATATATCGTCGGGGATAGTGCAAATCCGCGTAACTACCATTGGATAATTCCGCGTATCTACAGAAAATTATCAGAGGGAATTTTGAGCTGAAATAATTTCTAAATTAACGACTTTTAAGGTTATTTTTTCACAATTAGTAATTATTTTGTGTTTAATTTATTACTAATTGTGAAAAAATCACCTTAAAAGTCGTTAATATAGAATATATTTCAGCTTAAACTTTCTTCTGATAATCTTCTTCCAATGTAGATACGTGGAATTATCCAATGACAGTTACGCAGATTTGCACTATCCACGACGATATGTATAAATATATACCCTAAAGAATTCCTTAAAAGATATAAATTAGTAGTGTGGGAAAAACAGAGAAATTATAGTTTAGAACATATTAGTATATGTTAAAAATGTAATATTTACTAATAACATACAATATAATCAGTTTAAATGTATATATAATTCGATTAATTTTAAATTTACAATCAAAATTATTGATATTTATATAAACAAGTGTATTTAATGAGATCTAAGATTTTCGCGAGTACTTATTTAAATGAAACTAATATATTCGGATTTACTAGGCTTTTATTATTTTTTTGACTATAAACTAAAAAATAATTTCGGTTACTTTACAGCACTTTGCTGTCAAAAATAAAAAAATTCCAAGTAAATCCGAAAATATTATTTTCATATAAACAAGTGTATTGGTTGTACATATATATAAATCAGCTATAAATAAAACTGTAAGCTAGAAGTGTGCTGGAGTTTGTTACCCGGATTTACCCCGTAAATGCTAAAATTACCCTTAAGCTAGACTGTACATTGCTATGGCAACACTGAACTATCCAGGATAAATAAGAATCCAAAAGAAAAACTCCAGCTCACTAATGATCATGATGATTATGACCACGATCATGATGATTATGATCATGATGATTATGTTCATGATGATGATGATCATGATGATTATGTTCATGATGATGATGATTATGATCATGATGATTATGATCATGATGATTATGATCATGATGATTATGATCATGATGATTATGATCATGATGATTATGATCATGATGATTATGATCATGATGATTATGATCATGATGATTATGATCATGATGATTATGATCACGATGATGATGATGAATGTATATTAATGTGTACTATCATTTATTGCTGCTGTGGATCACGGTTTGTATATTAGGCATATTGCGGTACAAAGTCGACTTTCAATCCCTACAACTGGATGAACCGTTGGATGATGTTGACCTCGATGACTATTAGGATCAGGATCCATATAAATATTATGTTGGATAGTTGTTTTTTATTTTGTTGTGGATTTTTAAATTTTTCTTTTGGATGTTTATTTTCTTTGTTCACATGTACATGTATACACTTTTCACACGATCATGAGTAATGATTTTGTGGCTTGAGTTTTTCGTTGGTTTTGTTATGGATTTAGGTTTTAGTGATTTCTGTATTGCTATGAGACGTTTGAATATTTTCTGACCTTCTCCCTTCCCATTTAACCCACAAACTTTTATTTAGACCTATGACACCCTTTTAAAACTATATTTAGACACATGACCCCCTTATAACCTTCTATTTAGACCCATGATCACTTATTTGGTTAAAAATCTATTCAACACTATTAAAAGAAATTGAAAATTTTCATTTCATTCTCACAATTATTATATGAAATGAAAAACTCGTCTGGAAAATTACTCATCAAAATTTATTTCTTAATTATTAAATAATATATACATATACATATATACATTTATGAAAAGATTCTTCCATTTGTATGTGCCTGATGAAATACAAGTAACACAAATCTCAGCGTAAAGCTTTTTGTATCGGATAAAAATTTAAATATTATCCAATACTATTTATATGAAGTATGCAGAACAGCGAAACCACAAAGTATATATATTATTATAAATTAATATTGAAATAGCAACCATTAAAAAATTCTATTAAAAATCTTCATTGTATTAGATCATAATTTTTATAAAAAACAAGACCAATTTGTTCCAAGAGTAACAACATTTATTCCCGTATTATTTTCTATCACATTCAGTTTTTTTCTCCTTGATATCATATATATGTATTTTTGTTCACCTCTAAATATATGTAACTTGTAAAACTTTAAAAATGATGATAATTATCATAAAGAAAACTTGTCATAAACTAGTTTTTGCCCGCGACTTCGTCTGCGTTAGTTTCAGAATTACTAATGTATAGCTGACCGGGCAAACTCTTTTCCTTCTTAAAGACAGTAGATAAGAAGATTTTGTATTTGATCAACTTATTTTCTTTTTCAATCGTATGTAAAGTATCCTGTGTCCTTTCTATGTCCTAATCTATCTCTCCATCAATTTTCATCCAAATCCGTACAGCCGCTCTTGAGTTTTATATAGTGTAACTAACACGACATATATATACTTGATTTGATAATACATAATCGGGATATTAAGTAACTTATGATAATTATCATAATATTTTTAAAGTTTTACGTACAATGATAACTTTAATGAGATTTCTAAAACTAATGTAAACGATTCGCTTTATGAATTAAATTAATATGTAAGTTTGAAATGCAAAAACATCTGTATTTTGATAATTCTACACACAGATACACACACACATATACATATAAATATATTATATAAGATTAGCTGAGCCTACAAACGTTGTTTTGCCATATAAAAAATAGGGGTTGGTGATAAAAAGTAAAAATTTTGTGTTGTATGTATTTTTTAATGCTAAATTATAGAAAAAATAAAAAGAAAAAGTGTCGGCCGAAAAAAATTATGGATGAACAACCCTTATGACTTAGGGATATAAAAACCAGATGTTGGCCGATTCTCAGAGCTACTCAATATGGTCATAAAATGTCGTCAAAATTGGTCCAGCCGTTTCAGAGGAGTTCTCTGTCTAACACCGCGACACGAGAATTTTATATATAAGATATATGTATGTGTGTGTGTGTGTGATTATATAATAGAATGCTATATATTTATTTAAATTGTAATATCTAGTTTTAAGTAGTATGTAAACGGTTTACGATCGTCCAAGAAACACATTAATAATTAACGCGTGATTATATAACGGTAGGGTAGATGCTAGATAGTTTTTTATAGCGTTTTAATGATAAAGAAAAACATAAAATAATATAGTATAGTATAGTATAGTGTTATTATATTACTTTAATACTATGATCAATTGTACTATGACATCTACATGACTGTCCAACGAGACGTGATAATTTTTGTAAACACAGTCTGTTATACAGTCAAGATAATAACAATGAGAATCAGTGGTGGCCTAGTGGTTAAAGGCCTCCTCCTGTGTATGAGAACGCTGGTTCGATTCTGGCAAGTACCCATGTGATTTTTCCGAAGCATATGTACTTTATAAGAGTATTTAGACATCACTGACAGATGAAGGAAAACATCGTGAGGAAACATGGACTTATAATTCCACAATTATTAGTTTGAAATCACCAACCTGTCTTGAGCGAGCGTGGTGATTAATGCTCTAACCTTCTCCATGTGAGAAAGAGGCCTTTGCTTAGCAGTGGGCTCTGATAGGCTGATGATGAAATATAGTACCAATGGATATATCATCGAGTACAATTTTATGATGATGCTATGATATGATATAATGTTTTTGATAGTTTTACAATTATATCATTATAACGGATCGAAAGAATTGATGTCTGTTTACATAATTTATTACTTCTCGTTGGATTAAAATTATTATCAAAAAATTAATGTTATTGATCTCTTATTAAAGTAATAACATACTGGCACATGAGTGGTTCATTGTATTTATAATATAATATGTTTTTTAATAACTTGGAAATATATACAGGGTGACTGGTGAATTACTATCGATATTTGAGGACGTGATATTTGACGATCATATATGACAAAATAAAAATTAATATAACATAAATATTAATAAACTTCTAAGTAAAGTTAACCAAAAGTTATGTAATTAATTACGCATCGTATGAACACCCTACAGATTAGGTATACACACACACACACACACACGCGGCGGGGGCGTGGTTTTGTATCAGCACGCCGCCGCACTCGTCCACACTTGGAACACTTGGAACGTGTACACACTTTATTTATTTATACGGAAATTTGGTCAAAAATTAAGTACCTATTTTTTTTACATAATTCGAATGAGAATCATGTACCAAGTATGCTCCTTAAATATTGATAGTAATTCACCAGTCACCCTGTATAAGATGTATTTTTGGTTTTTGAGTAGGTATCAGATAGACATACATAATTTTTCATACAGAACCTAGTTTTTCAGTGTCGGTTAAATTTGCAATAGCTATTTTGCCTTTTTTGAGATTTGTATAAAATTACTTTGAAGTTTCAACTTCTATGAAAGCTAGTTGTAGTTGTATTCATATTATAGTTTAGTATAGAATATATATTTATAAGTTTTTTTAATCTAATTTAAATAAGCAAATCCGTGTGAAACTGTATGTATTTAAATCAAACAGCTCATGTTTTTAATCAACCGTTCAAATTAAGCTTTGTGATATGAATACATGCATTTCTATATATTATTTCCTTTGTAATATTGAAGAGAAAAATGTATGAAAAAAAAATTACCAAAAAAAGGATATATACATATATTACAAGTACCTTACGTAACTGACATATTAAATTGTAAGTTAAATGTATATATACATATATAAACATATATGTGTATATATATATATAGTGAGAGTATTTTATAAACGAGAATTATTATCGCACAAGTAAAAATATTTACATATATGATTTAGGCTTTTAAATAATAAAAAATGATATTGATGCGCCTGATTAAATGAAATGATACATATATTATGTCGTCGCGGATAGTGCAAATCCGCGTAACTGCCATTGGATAATTCCGCGTCTACATTGGAAGCAGATTATCAGAAGAAAGTTTGAGCCGAAATATTTTCAAAATTAACGACTTTTAATGTATTTTTTTTCAAAATTAGTAATTATTCAGTGTTTAATTTTTTACTTATTGTGAAATACTTCAGCTTAAACTTTTTTCTGATAATCTGCTTCCAATGTAGATATGCGGATTTATCCAATGGTAGTTAGGCGGATTTGCACTATCCGCGACGATATACATATATGTAGCATTGTGACCGCAGCCTTAATGAAACATAGATGACCTAGATGATCTAGATATAGTTATATACATAGATTGAGACATTGTAACGTTTGTTCCATTTAATGCATGATTATATTTATATACAAGTAAATGTAGATTGGACTTTCTTTTGGCTTAAAATTGTTGTATTAATATGAATTTTGTATGAGTGAGGGAGTGGATTTTTTTGTAGTCGATATATTATTTTTTGCAATCATTGCAAGTTTATGAATAGTAAAGAAATTATTATTTTTTTTGTATTTAAATGAGATTTCGATATGTTATGTATGTACTTTTTTTGTATTTTGTAATGCAATTAATATAAGCCTATATTCGACTAATTTGTATCAAAGTGACACAAAAAAAATCTACTCCCCATAAACGATATGGAATACTTTAAAATGACATCACTGGTGATCTTACCACGTATATCTGTCAACTAAATACGTAGCTTATCAAGTATATTATCAATGAAACAATTAATATTAAACTTTTAATGCCGCGTATACAGTTTGGTTAGGGGAATTCGTGGTAAGCTTTGCTGTATGTTAATCGAAAAAAAGGTGATGGTTATTTATGTATAATATGTAGACCAGGGATTTTAAGCTGATTATTATATATTGTGAAGAACCATGCAAGAGTGTACTGATTGGAGAGATCGTTCTGATACACGGAAATACGAAAAAATTGGTAGTTGTTTTTTTTTTGTTTTAAACTCGTTTTTCTAAGATTTTCGTTGGTAGTTATTTAATGTCCCATCAAACATGGTTTTTTCTCGTATTTATATATTTGTATACAAAAAAACAGCTAATTTGTAAATGTAAGAGAACGATTCATTGTGAGATTTTTCGTACTGAGCAGAAAATATCATTTTGTAAATTCTTCAATGTATATATTGAGTGAAGTGGGTTGAACTATATACTGTTGACAACATAATGTACGATCGACGAGAGGTTTTATATTATATAGACATCATATGGAGTGAATATTGATAGATAAATATAGAACCAAAAATATCAATATTAGTTCCGGAAAATGGAACCCCCATGTAGAAAAAAACGATTTGGTACCGAAACGATGAGGTCGCTTCACTCAACTTGTACCTAGATCTTCTTGTATTGCTTCTTCTACAGTTGTGTATAAATAAATTTTGGTCATAATTTTCTCTCAAATCAGCTAGAATGTGATACATTTTGTGAATTTTTTTTTAGATTGGATTAAAAAAAAACTCTTGCAAGGTCCTACTTGGTCTGAACACTTCAAGCAATATCCATGCCTTTTAAATAACTGAACGCAATACCGACAGTTACATAGTTTCGAGTACAGAAAACGTGTTATTTAGTGTATTTTAAATTCTTTTTGAATTACGTGGGACTTTATATAATTTTTAAATTTTAACGTCTTTGAAGTTTAATAGCAGGCACAATAATATTAAGTTTTTGTGACGCATTTTTAAAACTATTTTTTTGATCTAGGTAGATACATATATAATAATATATTTGAGAAATATAATAAGGGTCATTTGTCTGCTAACCGACTTTTGCGATGCAAAAGAGGGGTTATGTTTTTGTGGTTACAATTTTTTTGTTACCGTGAAGTCCTCACTAAATTAATTGTCCACTAGACTGTTGTTAAAAATCTTTTCTCGCTGTCTACCTAAATAAAGAACGTATTTACAGAAACGATCTAACTGTCGGTCTGGCGTTTGAGAATAAAACACGTAACAAGATATATTTTTTCGACAAACGTGTTAATTACGTTCGATGTAAAACGTAGTCTTTCCAGACGGGTTAGGATAGCTGATTATGATGAAAAAGGGGAGGGAGGGCGTACAGAAATAAAAAAAATAATAATTATTTATATATAAAAATTAAATTAACATTTTAATATATATAGTTTGTATTTAAATTGTAACGAACATTATCGATAGTTTCGAAAGTAGTTTTAGTTTTACAACACTATGTAAGCTTCACATAAATATATATATGGATCGTTTGCGTTTTGTCCGTGTGTTTGTTATTTTTAAAAATTTTATTTATATTATTTTCTCTCCTCCTGTCATTAACACTATGCTATTCTGTACGGATACAAGGTAAAAATATTTGTAATACATACGCATGGTAATATATACATATATATATACATGGTAATATATATATATATCGACTTTTTTTATTTCCTGTGATAGTAGTAATTAGTAATATTTTTTGTCTCTTTTCTGCCGCATATGTATATATTTTTTGCATGTTTTATTTTTCTAAATTGTTGTTAAAATGTTTTTTATTTTCGTTTGTAAGATTTTTTTTATTTTATTTATTTTCGTGTTATATGTGTTGTAGGAATTGAATTTAAATATATTTATATTATATGAGTAGTAATATATGTTATATTTTTCTAGGTCTCCTTCGCTACAAGGTCGATTTCCAATCGATGCAGCTGGATGATGAAGAAATTGACAACTTGTACGACATCGACGACTATTAGGCATTGGATTTAGTTGTTAAATATAACAAACAGACACACACACACACACACACACACACACCCACACACATACATACACACAAACAACACGAGAGAGACTTGAAAATATTGTAGGGTTGTTTGATAAAATTTTATATTTATACTATAAATAAATTCTCAAATGTATTAAATGTATTCCTCTACAGTATAATATTGTAAGCCTTTTCAAACGTACGGATTCCGATGTATTTGAATGGATATTTATTATAGTTTTATTGTTCGAAGGTCACAAGCTCATCACGTGCTTGAATATTAGATTTTTTTGCTCTTTTTTCTATGTATCACTAAACCAAGTCTTAAATTTCCTGTATCATGCACACTTGTGTAAATGTCACCTAAAATATATTATAAATGCTCCGATATTTTTATTTGTAGCAACTGAACTGTCCTTCGAAAAAATGCAGTAATATTTTTTTTCTTCTAAATATATCAAGTTGTTATAAATAGTTGAATTTGTTTTAATTAAATGACACTAATGCCTGTTACTCTTCTTGCTCTAGATGTGTAACTATAGATGAAATTATCTATAGATGTTAAGTTTATTTTAGTAAATTTCCTGGCCTATGAATTGATGAAAATAAAGTTTGTGGCTTATAAGGTCGAAAATGATATAAAATTGTCTAAGATAAATACTTTAGTTATTGAGACAAAGGAAATCATAATTATTATAATCTTTGTGTTAATAGAAAATTTCTACCAAAACCATTATATCTCAAAAATATATGTATATAAGGATTATTGTAAGGAGAACAGTAATAATTGGTTTAAAATAAAATAAAGATCTTAAATCTACTCAAAATATAGTCAATTTGTATTTTTAAGTTGGTTTGGTTGATAACATATGGCGCTGGTGGCTAAGAAAAATTAGTTTCAGTTTTGGTTCATAATGTTCAGTATTTATTCTAGTAATGTCCTACAAAATGTCTGAAGCCAGTATTTATATTTTACAAACACCCAAATGCTGCCATCACAAAATTAGTATTTAGTATAGAATCAGTATTATAATTAATTATAAATATACTTAAGTCATTCTGTGTGAATGATCCTTAGTGATTCCTATTGTTACATCAAATCTATGACACAATTGCCATACAAACGGTTTCATTGAGTGACGTCACATGATTGAATGTATGAATGAATAATTGGCTGTAAACTAGAGTAGAAGTGCATATTGGTTTACAATTAACATAAAGCAGTGAGATGCATAAAATAAGTTAGCATAAAGAGGGAGGGTTTGTCTAAGGGTGACGTGGGTATATAGGAAAGTGATGTACAATGTTCATTAAATATGTTAAATTAGGATATCTTTTGACTAATTTTCTTTTGTATGTAAACATATCGGCTTACAAACATATGTAGTTTAATGTCATTTAATTATAACTTGATTTATTTACTTATTTTTTGCTGCTCTTGATGCCACGCTACAAATTAACTAGTATTTGTCGAATAATGAGATCTAAGATTTTTTTAGTATTTGTCGACCTTGAAATCCCTCATAATTGGATTCTATGTTCTAATACTTTAGAATAACATTTCTAAGTAACCTGCACTCTCAACTCATTAAAGAATCTTAATACTATTGCTTAAACCACCTAATAAAATACACTGTAAAAATAGAGAACTTGTAAACTATCAATAAATTTATTTTCTTATACTATTCAGATCTTAGGTTTGTGACAAAATATTTCTAGGGAGGTCACCGGAAGTGTAAAAATTAACAAAAGGGAGTCAAAAAAAAGTTTTTTTCGAGAATGACGTATTTTATGAAACTCACAAGAATCTTTTCATCAGGAATAGCAACAAAATTATATTTACCAAACATATAGGACTATAGTCATAATGTAGTTCTTAATCTAGTAGATTATATTATAGTAATACTCATATTTTATGCTACCCAAAATCTCTGTCTCAGTAAAGTCTGTCTATATCTATGTAACAATATATTTTATCTTTAAAACACCCATAACTCGATACTCATGTATTATAATATTTCTTGCACCTACTACTAAAAAACGTTTGCTATATAATAGAAAAGACTCATTGGCTAACAGATTTAAACAATATACTTTTAAGCTTTCATTATAAAGTTGCTGAATAGTTTTTGCTCAGTTATTTTTACAGAGATAATTATTAATATAGGTATATATTATAATGAATTATACTATGGTAACATAATTATTTATCCTTCAATGATAAATTACAAATTAAAACATATATGCACTGTGATGCTTTCTTATTCTTCTTAGTGTTTCACTCTTGACAGAGTGGTCGTGGTTGATGATTCCGCACATTCTTTGGCTAAAACAGCTCCTGCGATGCGCCTTCACTTATTCCGGTCTTCAGCGTTTCGGAAACTCTAAACTACGGAGGTTTGTGTTGTACTTTTGATAAGGTCCACCCAACGCGTAGGTGCTCGACTACGCGACCTTTTGCCCTCGACTTGCCCCAGCACAAGTCGTTCCATGGAGTGTTTATTCGCTAGTGTTGCTTAGTAACACGTAAAATAAAGTACCTTGAGTAAACAGTGAAGAAAAAGATAGTCAGTATATAAATAGTTCTACTAAATATATAACATTTAGGATTCTTACAATATCATTAAAAATATAGTTTAAAGCCAGTACTTTTAAATTACTAATAATTAATATAACTTTAACAAGCACAAACTAATTACTATCTTAAACCAAAGTCCAAATCACCTTAAATAAGTTAAATTCTGTTTACAAACACACAAGTCGCGTCGACAATTACTTTCCCGCGTAAAAGTGAAAAAACCATCACCTCGGATGCGTTCGGGAATTTAAAGGTTCGGTTGAAATTAAATATGTATTCCCTAAATATATATATTTTTAATATTTAGTGTTTTCCTTCAACAATATTAATCAATTATTTTGTTTCGTCAACGTCTAAATTCGGTTCAAATTCTTTAAATAAATTCTTATTCTGAAGTGGTTATCAATACAAAATTTATATTGAAAATATGAACTGTTTTGTGCTATTTATTATTTACTGTCTTATTTTTTAAACGCCACTTATTGATTATGAATAATTAGATGACCCGGCGGACTCCGTACCGCCCTATAATCAAGAAATATCTGTTACCTTTTTATCTCAATGAAGTCATTTTCTTAATTATGTACAGATGACTCGACAGACAATGGTCTCTCCTCTTTTTTATATTAAATTTATATATTTAAATTAATACTATCTTTATATTATATATATAATTCATCTGTACTGTACTGTATTTATATTTTTTTATTTATTAGTAGTTGTTGATACAAACGTTTTTTTTTTTGACATTACATTTGACAACTAACTATTGTAATATGTCAATCATTCTGTCAAATATAAATAAAAAAACCTAACAGATATTTCTTTATTATAGGGCGATACGAAGTTCGTCGGGTCTTCTAGTAATAGTATAAGTCTTTAGCATATCGATAATATGTCCAAATCACAACTAATAATATTCAAAAACAGTTTTAAAATGTAACATATTTTTATGAACATATTTCAAATCAGGGCCTGCATTTATTAAACTGCTAGCGCCATCTGTTATATTTTGTGTAAGTTAATTACATGAAACTCCAATTTCTTTCGATAGATGTCGCTAGAATATAATCTTTAATTTACATAAAATAAATTATTAAACACACGCGTAAACGTTAATCATTTGTCATTATTTTTGAACTCATGTCAACCATTACCCATAGTATTTGACTTAGTGTTTAGATTTAATAAGCCATTTTAATTTCTATTTAGGTACTTCATTCTCAAAAATATAATCACATATATGTTTTGGTGACAATGATATTTAATATACTCTTTTTTACATTAAGCAGAAACCTCTGAACGTCTTTATACGACTAACATTTTAGACTATAAGAACTTACAAAGCGACCTATAAACGCCGTTTCATAATTTCCACTTTTATATGTGTCACGTCTCAATAAAACTCAATTGATTTTATACTACATCCTTACTATGAGTGTTCCAAGCTCAAACTGATCGTTTTCATTCATTAATGGTTTTTATTCACACATGGTAAGTACATGTATTAATTGAAAACTCTTAAATATTTATTTAACGTTAGAATATAAACTCCTAAGTAATCTGAATTCTGATATTGTACTATTTTAATGTTTTTCTAATTATTTTGTCTAAACTTCAATGAAACTACTATATTGAAAACTAACGCAACATAGAAGTTATAATACTGGTTAGACTAATTGTTTTATTTATAAATTTATTTTAAATCAAATTTAGTTTTTCGCAAACTACTTATGTGTTTCTTCTTCTTCTATCTGGCAATTTTCCCGGCTATAGCCAGGGTCTGCCTTAACATGTTGTGAATAGTTTTTGGCTAATTGTTTATTACGACCGGGCGCCTGCCTGACATCAACCCTCTTTGGGAATGCATTAATCAGTGATGTCTAAATACTCTTAGAAAGTACATATGACTCGGAAAGTCACATTGGTACTTGCCCGGGCCAGGATCGAACCCGCGCCCTCGGCAACGAGAGGCGGGCCCTCTAACCACGAGGCCACCACTAATTATTACTCTATATCTAGATACCCTCAAAGTTTCCCCCAAAGTTTGTGATTACGGACAAGCGAGATGATTTTGTAAGAAATTTATTTAATGGTATTTTTAAATTAGCTCATAAACCAATGCTTGGACGGTGGAGGTGAGCGTTTAACGCGTTAGATAGGGTCCCTTAAACCTACACCTGGGTCACAAGTCCCAGTCACTGTTGAAGCTCCTCTCACTACAACGATGGACCCGACACACGCACCGTGAATACATTGAATGATGAGAGGTTTCGTTTCATCTCTTTATCAAAATATATATTTATTTAATCAAAGTATGTGATTGCTATTTATTAACTTTTGGTGTCTCATCCATTTACTAGGAAAACCATTCGGATGGGATTCAATACGATCTTTAAAGGCATTTTTTA